GTTTTTTCGATGTCCGAATGTATGTGCGTACCCTGTACGCTGTACGCAAAAATTTGTTAACACGATAACTTTCAAACGAGAAAAGTAAATCAAAATCTGACTTCACATGATGATTGGGAGTGCCGAGGAATTGAAAAAATTATATTTTGAGCGACTTTGGTTGAAAGAATAAAGTGTCATGTCTGGTGTAATGTCCATGGCCATCCATGGGAAAAATTCAATTTTTCTTCCAAAAGTGATATTTAATGTATTCCTAAACACTCAAAAATATGTATTGGGGGTATTTTGGGTATGAGAAAACCGAATATGACGTAAGTTTTGCGATACAATTCATTTTCGACACACTTTTCATACAAAAATTTTAAAAAAATTGATTTTTGTATGGAAGCCATGCCTGTATGATATCGTGATGAGCTGAAACTTTGCACAGGTTAATCTTTTCATACAAAAATAACATTTCGAGGGTTTAAAGAGATTTGAACGCATAATAGGGGTACCTCCCGAACAAAATTTTGGATTTTTCGCTCAAAAACGAAAATTTTGTATGGAAGGTACCACTCAATTGTATTGAAATTTCTCCAAACTTTCAGAATGTTAGCTTTTTGTGAAAAAAATAACATCTGCAAATTTTCGCATGATTATGATATCATACAGGCATTGAAAAGTCTATCGAAAATTATTTGTATCGCAAAACTAATGTCAGATTCAGTTTTCTCATGAATTCATATTTACGGTAAAAGATATGTAATAAATGCATGTTGTGGATCACAGTGCGGAAAAGTTCATCTTACGGATGTAAGACATTATATTTTTTTTATCATAGCGTATTGGCTCGATATTACGATTCGGATTATGTTCGTAGAAGACAAATTAGTTATTCCTACTTTGGATCGGCAGTTTTCATTCTTGGTGAGTGAGAAAATTTACAATTTTTCTTAAAGTTTCAATAATCACATTATATGTTCAATGTCTACAGTCTTGAGTGCCATTTATGACTACTTGGCACTTAAAATCTATTTACAGTTGGAAAAGTCCCGTGAATCAAATGGACAAAATATGGCAATGAAACCACCAACATATATACCGGCATTACTGACAGAAGCTGAAAATGTTTAAGTTTAGGGGATATCATCTATTCGTGAATGGGCAATATTTATTAGTTGTATGATAAAGTCATCATTTTAGTAAAATAATTCAAGCAATTCGCATGCAATTCGCAAAAAGTAGTCACTATTTGATACATACAAAACATACACATTTTGCGAATTTTCTCACGTTCATAGCGAATTGTTTTTTAAATCGCATTTCTACATGCCTACCGCTTACAAATCATTTCGCATAAAATTCGCAAAATATCGAATAATTCGCTATGTTCTGATCGAGATCCGAATCCCCTAGGTTTAATTACCCAATATTGTTTGATTACTCAGAGTGCCAAAAAAGTTGGGAAAAAAGATTTATTTTTTAAAATTGCTGTCGTCACACAATCGACATTTGTACAAAACGTAACTATTGAGGTACTGTTAAATTATAGCGGTAGCGTTGTCTACTCTCTGAATAAGGAGAATAAAAATGAATCATCAGCTGTGTTGTGTTTTGATTGTGTATTTCTACGCGAATGTATAATGCGTAATACTTGTGGATTACGCGCTAGGGTGCTTTTCAAAAAATCCACCTTCTTAGTCAGTCACGCTGATATAAAAACATATTTCAACTTGTAACATTTGAAATGGTAATTTCGTAAAATCACTTCGTGTTGTTTACGTTGTTTCTTTTCACAGATATCAATGTTTGACAAATACATATTTTCTCCACGTAACCATCTCTACATGGTCTACAAGGCAAAGTCTACAAAGCAAAGCTACATATCATATAATATAAAATATTTGTGTGTTTTTTTCAATTTTTTTTATTTATTATAAATTCTATTAATTATTTTCGTTATTATTATTGCAAAACTTATTCAATTTATACAATTTTGCAATTTTATTTGTAAGAAAAAAATATATTAGAACCTGGCGTGAAAGAGATGGCTTTTCTTAAATCGAGTCGCGTTCAAATACATTGTCAATATACAACGCAAGTGATACTCGAAAAAAACCCTCTGTAGTATTTTTTACTTACAAAAATGACCTCACAGTTGCGTTCTTGGAATTTTGTTCGCCAATTGGTGAAAATCTGTAAATATTTAACAAAAATGTCATATTTTCAGTGTACAATTTGATAGGCTGCAGCGTCTGGCTTGTTGGGATCGGAATGGTAAATTTGCACAAAAAAAAAACGTTTTTCTCTTCTTGATGTTTTAAATATTTAGTAAAAATGTAAATTAAATATTATTCCAGAACTTTCCATTACTGCTGCTACTCACATTATTTTGGTGGGCTATTCCGTTGTCGCTTTGGGCTATTTATATATCATTTAATTTACATAGGTAGATTCGCTGGAATTCTTATTGCAAGATTATTGAATGCACTTATGACTCCTAATTTTGGTCGATTTTTTTTTATAGCGTATTGTCTCGAGATTACGATTCGGATTATTATTTCTATGATAGACGAGAGGTTTACTCCTACTTTTGGTCTGCCCTTTTCATACTTGGTGAGTGGGAAAATCAACAATTTTATTTAAGTTTCGATAATCATATTTTCTGTTCAATTTCCACAGTTTTGAGTGCCATCTATGACTACTTGGTACTGAAAATTTATTTGCGGTTGAGAAATTCCCGTCAAACAAATGGACAGATTATCGCTTTGCATCCACCACCATTATACACCGGCATATACGCCGGCATTACTGACAAAATCTGAAAATGTTTAATTAGTCAGAGATTTATTTTTTTCGCTCAATAAGTGCCAACAAACTTTCAAATAAGTCAATAATAAATATAAATTTCGAATAAATTGCATATAAAACAGTTTTGCATCAATTTTTATTTGTTTTTCATGAGGCGTAGCTATCTTCTATGTACCGCTGATAAAATGTCTGACAGATTTCATTCTGGGAATTATACATCACATCAATGTTTACGAAGAATAAATATGATCATGTCGTTTATTACAGTCAGAATAAAAAATCTCTCTTTGCGAGATTAAAATGATATCAATTTGAATGCAGCAAAAAAAAATAAACAAAATTCTAAATAATAATGAAATAATGCGTAACATTTTGGATTATGTAAATGGATGTTTTGAAATTAAAAAAGTAAAAGTGCAGAATGCGTATAAAAAGACAAAAATGAATTCGAAACTGTGACGTACTATTTCGTTATAATTCTTGATTTAGTCGGAATTTCGTAATTTCGTGGATTTGTTTTTTCGTCGCTATTCCGAGAAAATCAAGAATTTGATGCGACACATATGTTATTTATAATATAAACAATGGATCGGTTTGTATGTCATGCATCGATGAATAGCTCTCGTTCTTTGTGCTCACGCAAATGATATTCAAAGTATTGGTTGCTCAGACTAAAAACCATATGAATTCAGCCCATTATGTGGCTGTGTGAAAGTCTTGTTAGTATGTTGAGTGCCATACAGCTATGTATATTGTATATGGAATCAACAGTTAATATAGCCTTAAAGGCAACAATCATTGAATGAATGTGAAGGTCATTGCGTGTGCCGCTTACAATATCATCATTGCGGCATCATCCGCAAAGTTCTATAATTCAACCGGTCTAATGCCATTCCTATATGATTTGATTTTGCGAACCATTTTTCTATACTCTTTTTTCTGAAATTGAAGTATGCGTCGCACGTATGGAGAATAAGATTGAATCATCAGCTATCTCTTATTTTGACTGAGCATTTTATATCGCGGTTGCGTGCTAGGGTGGTCACCAAAACATCAACTCTTACAGCCGCTCTGATATCAAGAAATACTTTCAACTCGCAACATTTGAAATGGTCATTTCGTAAAAATGATTTTCAAATCATGATTTTTCAATAAAATTGGTGCAATTTTATTATATTTTAAAATTTCATAATTTCGACACCAACACTGCCCAATTATTCCGCTCACTTAACATTTATTTAGCATTTTAACCAATGACAGGATGTGAAGACTTCAAGTCTCATTGAGCCGACGGTGGCGCCACCAATTTCAAAGGGGACGTCAATGTAATTTAACAACTCAAATCGAAACTAAACAGCGCGGCAATTTTAAAATTTGCTGTCATTTCCTCCCATTGATTTTAACACAACCAATTTATCCAACAATGTCCGGCAGGGGTTTGCGATAACGTCTAAATTGGTCCATATGTTTGAAGGACCACCCTATTTCACGCGCCTGCATAAATGAGTCTATTTTCATATTATCCAAGTCGCAGTATTTCGTCCGAAGTGTACAAAATAACAAGCTTTTTCAAAGTGTTCCCATCAATTGCCGATATTTCAAACGAATCCGCATAAAAAAAGAAATATTTGGATAAAAAAGTTTAATTTCAAAGAAGAAAAATGAAGATTCGTCCAGAAGTGTTAATTGGTTGGTTCGGTGTCGTTGTGAACATATTATCTTTAATCGTTTTCGAAGCAACTGGCCTTGCCGATGACACTATTGCAGGAACATTCGGTGAGTGTAGGAAAGAAACCCTCTGTAGTATTTTTAACTTAAAAAAATGACCTCACAATTTCGTTCTTGGACTTTTGTTCGCCAATTGGTGAAAATCTGTAAATATTCATCAAAAATTCCATACTTTCAGTGTACAATTTGATAGGCTGCATCGTTTGGCTTGTATTAATTGGATTAGTAAGTTGCACAAAAAAAAAAACGTTTTTTTTTTCTTCTTGATGTTTTAAATATTTAGTAAAAATGTAAATTAAATTTTGTTTCAGAACTTTCCATTACTGCTGCTACTTACATTATTTTGGTGGGCTGTTCCGTTGTCGCTTTGGGCTATTTATGTATCATTCGCTTTACATGGGTAAATTCACTGGAATTCTTATTGCAAAATTATTGAATTCCCTCATGACTCCTAACTTTTGTCAATTTTTTTTTATCATAGCTTATTGTCCCGAGAGTGGAGTTATTCGTATAGTGTTAGACGAAATAGTTACTCGTACTTTGGGTCTGCCCTGTTCATACTTGGTGAGTGAGAAAATTTACAATTTTTTTAAAGTTTTGATAATCACATTTTCTGTTCAATTTCCACAGTTTCGAGTGCAATTTTTGACTATTTGGCACTTAAAATCTTTTTACGGTTGAGAAAATCAAGTGAATCAAATGGACAAATTATCTCATTGAATCCGTACTATGCTGCATCCACACCAGCATTAATACCAAAGGCTGAAAACGCTTAATACCTCAAAGAGCCAAAGTTTTTTTGAAAAAAAAAGAAAGAAGATTCATTTCTGTGCATAATAATAAATGGCAGATGATGTAAGAAAAACGAAATATACTCTAACCATTTGATATGTAAATAAATTGCATATAAACAGTTGAATTTTTTTTTATTTAATGAAGCGTAGTTTCTATTTTCTATGTATTGCTGATACATTTCCGGAAATTCGACGCAAATAGAATTTTGCTCAGGAAAAAGAAATGTTATAAAAAAAAATTCAGCACAAATTTTTTTAATTTGGTATCGGTACCAATAACAACGTAAAAACGTATATATTCGCTGTGTATAAACAATGTATAATCGTCTGTATTCACAATTGGTGGGTATTCTCTTCTATCTACTTCTCATTTCTGTATGTTTACATTATTCTATAGAACGCTAAAGCGTGCGTAACGCCAGTGTTCAGTGTTCACAGACCGACAACAATTTGTTGCTGGTTTTTTAAATAGACAACAACGCAATAATGAAAGTCAAGCAAGCGTCTACCTCACAATCCACTATAAATGTATCCGGAACATTTTGCGTATGACGATCTGGAACAACAATGAATAGTTATTCTATTTGTATTGAAAATTATAACTGTGTTGGTATCGCAAGCAGCGATGTACACAATGTTGTCGGTAGATTGGCATCAGTGCGATGTAAAGCGTGTCGGCGTTAACTTTAGTATAGGAATTATGGCATTTTGATTTTCGATCTGACCTTTTAATCAAAACTGCCAACTTTTCGGTTGAAATAGATTATTTGGAATTGTAAAGCTGAGAACATATTTAATATTTCAACGAACCTTTCTTCCACTCAGGGATTAAAAGTGAAACATTAAAAAAACCGTGTACCTTTCAATTTATAATTTACGAACAAATGAGTGAACTTCGACGCTTTGTGAGTACAAACAAATTTAGCATGGTAATCGAATTGAAACCAAAAAATTAAGAAACATTTCGAAATGGATAATAATTATGTGTATACAAAATGGAAAGTTCCTGCCTATATCATTGGTGGCCTGGGAATATTACTCAGCATTGCTTTATACGCGGGGAGTTTGTACTGTAGTGCAGTAAACTTTGTATTCAGCTTTGATGGTGAGTTTCATTCAAAATATTCGAAGAAAATTGAAAATGTTTGGTGTTAGTTCCATTGTTTTTGGTGTTAAAATGTAAAAATTTCGGTTGAATTCAACTTTTTTTCAGATCATAGTCTTCTTAACATACTCGTGGCCGTGAATTTGATAGCAAACATTTCATGGACGTTCGGAGTTGGTTTAGTGAGTAAAATCATATATTCTCCTTGAATAATAAGTAAATGTAAAGTGATTTTTTTGCTTTTCAAATTAATTTTAGAACAATGAAGTGCTCATGATTGTGTTGCTAGGCTGGTCTGCTTTAATGTTTGCCGTTTGGTTGGGCATAGTGCTACTGTCTATTTTCATGTTATGCTTCGATGGGAAATTTGCCGAAGCGATGGCAATTTTTCGCAATGCTGGTGTACTTATTGGAACAGGTGGGTGGAAAAGGTATTTTTTGAAATCTAATGACTGATTTTCATTCTTAAAATTTATGTTTCAGCTTTCTTTGCGATAAGCTACATTCTCACTGTGATATGTTTCGGAAAAATCAGAAAAGCTATTAAGAGAAGCAGATCGGAAATTCCAAGTTTTGATGTTGCGTACATAGCAGCACCCACGAAATGTAGAGAATTCGATGTGTATTGAGGCTTGGGTTCGATTTCATTTCTGTAATAAAAAATAATAATGTAAATGAACACTGAAGAACTAAAAAAACTGCCAAGTTTAAAATGAACAAAAATAATATTAAAATAATTTATTCCTAAATTATTTAGAGAATAGAAGAAATTAGACTAGTGAGGAGTGTTTTGTAATAATAAAAACAAAATGAATTCAAATTGAAAAACCACAGTGTTTTGTTCATCAATCGCAGTAGTCAAAATAAATTCGATTTTTGAAAGACCAATAGAAAAAATCTGAATGTTCCTGTTTCGAATATTTCTTCTTCATTTTTTTCTTTAAAAAAAAAAAACTCTGGTTATGAGTTAATTATCACGTGCCGAGAACTCACATGTGTTGTGTATTGTTTCTTTATACAATGCCAATGTAAATAAAAGAAACAAATAAAACATTATCTATGCGTTATCGCATACAGTTTTGCCTACTTTCTGTCATCCAAACAATACAAAGCGTTTTAGAAATAATTTGGCAGCAAGCTCTCAGTCTACCAGATAAATAAAGTTTATTCAGTCTAGCAGATAGTGAGAGAAGGCACTACGAAAGCATTTCGTATGTACAATATAAATATTCAAGACCATGAGAGCGTGTCGGACGCCGGATGCCGGTTAATGTAAACTGCGGAAAGTGCTACAAAACCGCAAACCAAAACACATTCAATGCGTGCATATGCGAAAGCAAAAGGAGAACATCGTTCGATAAAAACATAAACGCAAGTGACGCTACACACATACACTCTATGTTTTGTTGCCTCAAAAGTATATCATGGATACAGTGTCGTGTTGGCTGTGAAAGATTCAAGTAGACGTAACAACTTCGAATTTCTTTTCAACGAATTAAAGTGCTTTTTTCAAGTGCTGTTGTCAAGTGAATTTTTTGTTACACATTTTTTTCAAATTTTAATTTATAAAGTCATTAAGAAAAACATTTTATCTTCAAAGTAATACAATCTCATTTAAAAATTGAAAAAAAAAAAAAAGACGTGATAACCCAACATTGAAATGACACATTGACGTGAAAGTAAATATCGATTTTTGTACCTCGAATCGCGCAATGAGTTTTGTAAATAAGACACGTTCATTTTCGGCTTCAAGTATACATTCATGACAAGAAAAACATATAAAATAATTCAGTAAACAACACAGTCGATAGTCGATACCAAAACAATAGCCAATAAAATCGTTACATCCAAAACCAAATTCCCAAAAATGGATCCCGAAAAGTGTTGTTGTAATTGGAAAGTGACCGGAATGATAATCGGTTGCATAGAAATTCTGCTCAGCTTTGGTTTGGGAACAATTTTTGGAGCAGGAAATCTGATTTTTGGTGAAGTTCAAATGTCCATCGTTATTTTTTTAATATGTTGTGAGTGGTGTATCTAATAAAGTCACAATCTGTCTTATAATTTATTTGAAAAACGAATTTCATTTTTGTTTTGTATTTCTAGTCATAAATATAGTAGCCAGCCTCATATGGTTTCGTGGGATCGCTTTGGTAATTTATTTTCAAAATTTGCTCGAAATACTTGCCTCTTACACTCTAGATGTGTGCGGAAAAGTAAAATGTCAGTCTAATGAATGAAACAATTTTATTACAGGAAGAAATTCGATTTTTACTCACATCAACCACTTGGTGGATAGTATCGATGTGTTTATGGTTACTTTGGATGATATTAGATAAAATATCCGGCGTTGAATTCGACGGCACTATACTTTTTGTAACAGGTGTGTTTAAAAAAAAGATTCGAATATTTGTGTCCACTAAAATGTGTGTTTTTTTCTGTCCTTTAGTATTAATTGTGACATCGCATTTGGCGGCCGCATTGTGTTTCACGAAATTAAAGGTGGTCATGCAAGGCGACAAATCGGAGAACTCATATGAACCGGCATTAAATGAAAATAAACAATTTGATGTTTAGCGCACTTCATGTATTCAATTATTTAATAATGCACAGGAAATTCGTGACTGACAACAAATATTTTAAGTGTGAAAATGTTGCCTTAAGTAGTGATTTTTAGATTACCAAGCTCAAATGTTATGTTTCAAGTAAGTTAGTTACAAAAATGGTTCTCTTGATGCCGAAGATAGCATATAAAATAAAATATATATTAGAAAAATGATCTAAGACTTGAACAAAATTGATTTTTTTAAAAAGTTATTTGTCATTGAATGATGCATGATTAACTATTTTTGTTAGTATACAAGTTTGAAAGATATATGAAATAATCGCAAAGTTCTAATGAAAAGAAGATGTTTTGAATGTCCTTACACACGTTTTGCGTATGAATTTTTTGCTGGTGCCTTTTCTTTAGAAATGAAGCGGTAAAACAACACCATGCACGTGGTGCATATTTATGGTATGAACAAAAGTGGAATACGAATAAAAGGAGAATGACAAATGTGCGCAGGTATGAAGCGTGTGCGAATGCTCGTTATCAAGTATCATACATGAAATGCATACCATTCAGTTGAGTTTTTCAAAGTGTGCTCATTTGTATGTTTCCTAAATTCGAAAAAGTGCTTCAAAGTCTGATGTTCAATGAGCAAATTTAATCTAAACACAAAATTGACAAAGAACAGAAAATACACAAATTTTTCCGTCAGAAGTCTGATTACACCCAAAAGATTATGTGTGAAGGGCCTTGTAAAAGAGTATTGTGCAAAACTTGCATTTGTTACATTCTCAACTATAATCAGTAATCAGTGAGAAATGTTATCATGCCTCATGTGTGACTAAAACTATTTCTAGTGCACATTAATGCAGAAATACTATTAAATGTAAGTTGTCTTTATAGATTAAGTGCATTGATTAATTGACTGATTGCCAAGTAAGGCAAGTATTTCAATAATTTTCTTGATTTGTTTAAATTTCCTGGCCAGATCTTTTTTACGTCCATCTGGGCCGGACTATACGGGCTAATTTTCTCTTAATCTCGGTCAAAATTATTGACAAAAAATACAAGAAAAAATCTTTTTTTAAACCAAAACAAAAAATGTGAAAATGTTCGAATTATTTTTCTCCTTCCACAGAAATAACTAATTTTTTAATTGTATGGTTTTTCAATAGTTGGTTTTTTTCTATCTAATTCGCGCAACTAGGCCGGTTGATTTTTCGTCCGAGTTTTGCCTTGAAAATCCGGTCAAACCCGGATGAATCAGGGCAATCTGGCCTATGGTGTTCTTTGGACTTGTGAGCTTCAATTTTTTGTATCTAGAGCAAATTGATCCGACCATTATTCAAGACGTTATGATTTTTACGGATATGAACGCGAATGGTGGCACTTTACATTAAAAGATGAACAAATCAAAGATACTTATTTTGATTTTGATATTGAATAGAAAAAAAATGTGTATTTGATGACAAAAGAATTAAAAATCGCTGAAAAAAACATCATATCGTGCTGCTGTTTTTCACTATCCACTTTTTTTCGAATGTAAATTAATCAAAACAATCAAATAATTTGTCGTTCGGAACTCGTTGACTCGCAATTTTAATTTGTGTAATCGGGATATCGGGTTGCCTTCCTTATCCATACATTTCACTGAATTCCTTCTGCGTTAAATCAGAGAAATCGTTTATACCTAGGGGAGAATCACAAAAGAAAAGAATAGAATTAATTTAAAATAATCGACAAAAAATCGAAAAAGAATCAATAACAATTATTAAATGATAGAAAGGCAATTTTTAAGTGAATTGCCTCTAGGTTTATACCCAAATAATATGTACTCTTTTTTTGAGCGTAAAGCTTATTATGATTCTCGACCATTTTTTTATTTTGCAAATAAATCTTGTGTCGTCGATTATCTTCAGCTGCGTTGCGATATTTCTTTCTATACTCAAGCTTGAACGCGGCCCAACCATCATCATCTTCATTATCTAACTCGCGCTAAAAGAGAAAATGAGATGCGCAAATTTATAATGAATACTTTTGTTATAAATCTGCTAATCTATGTTCGCACACTATCTGTTTGGTGCGAATAATTTTTGTGTTGATGATTGGTTCGTTTGCCTATTAGTACAAAAATGTTTTTGAAAAAGCTTTTATAAATAGAAATGTCACCTTCAAAATATCGACATTTCCGCCCGCTAACGTAACAGCGATCGCAACTGCAAACAGGACAACAAATATTATAGCGATATTCTTCATATCTTTCGAGAACTTTGAATTGGAGTGAAAATTTTAAAATTTATAAGAAAACTGCCTTTTTTATTTATCGGAGAAAAAAGTGTTGCTTGTCTGATGTTGAAATTTCAGATAAATCTATCCGTCGAACGTTTCCGTTTTTATATCTGAAAACAGCTCAAATTACGTAATTTTGATGATAACAATGTAATTTGCACGGAAAACGATTTCTTTTTATGAACAATTGTTATCATATTATTAAAATAACTCATTATACAGTTCAAATATTTACTAAAAACACCATTTCAACGTCATGCAAAATTGAGGTGGAGACTCCCAGCCAACCCTGACTTGCGTCATATGGGCTTCTGTGTTATTGTGCCGAACTCCGCTCAACGTGGCGCCATCTCTTTACACGAAGTTGAAGTAATAAAAGTTTTTGTGTATTTCTTAAGTTTGAGAGAAATCGCATATTCACATACATATTTAGTTGCGTTGAATTGTAATTTAATAACTGGTAATAAAAAATGTCAACGAAATCAAAGAGAAGAATTATAGAAGTCACAACAGTTATTATATACATATTTATGGTTTACTGCCGCCAATCTACGTCATATGAAACGCCTTTTTATTCGGTCTTCTCTTCATTACAAAAAAATAAAATAAAAATATACACACAGCGTAGAGCAATATTTCTTTCGACTTGAAATTTCGTAGCATTTAAAATTTGATTGCAAATTTCACTTAAAATTAATCGAGCACACTTAGCAATTTTTTTGATGAAAAAAATTTAATTTAATATGAAATCTCAAAACATAGCATCATACAAAATGACAATTTGTTTACATGCTCATCGTTGACAGCCGGTATATGCGATGACATAAACCAAAGTGAAATGCCCATGTATTTTTGCGAATAACATTGCTCTCATTGAATCACATGTTCAAAATTCTTAACGTTGATTCGTTCGCTTATGCGCACTGTGTATGTATGTAGAGACGCTCAATGTGAGCGATCAATATTGTTCAAATACATGTGCACTTCATTTCGGTTTTTGTCATTCTAATACTGTTCGTGTAGAAAAAAGTTCGTGTGAGTGACAACATTGATTGTTGTCATTCCACTGTTTTCTCTCTCTTTGTTTTTAGTTTATTTTATTTTATTCTATTGTATTTTAAATTCAATATCATTTTAAAAATTATTTATTACTTAAATGTTTTTAAAAAAAAAATGAACAATTTATTAAATTACAATTCAACGCAATTCAATGTGCGGTTTATCTCAAACTTGAGAAATACACAAAAAAATCTATTACTTAGACTTCGTGTAAAGAGATGGCGCCAGTAGTAGAGCTTTTGTCAAAAAGTCAAATGTAAGTAGGAGTTGCTCCCAGCTTAATGCTTTCCACAATCGAGCTGGTTGCTATGTAACTAACCAACAGCTAAATGAGCCAAATCTAATCGCATATTGTTGTATTACATACACACCAACCTAAGGGGAAAAATTACGTAAGCTATTATAAACTAAGTAAGCTGAAAATAGTAAACCATAAAAACGAACACAAAGAATTAATTAGAGGTATTGTTGCCAGGAACTTTTTTAAATAAATATTTTGTATGGATGTTTTAGTATGTGAAAAAGTCTGATCAATCACCTAATACTTGAAAAAACTCTTCTTTGATTGTTCTCAATGTGATGCAATACGGACGGAATACAAATTCAAACCCAATTAACGACGCTTTCATTCAGGCAAAATATTGCGTCACCTTTCCAGCTCCAAAAAAATCACAGAAAAATTTGATGTAGAGAACTAATTTTTTTTTGCATTTTTATGTTCCTCGAATTGAATATTCTCTTCAGAAGCCACATTTTGAACTTCACACATGTCTTCATTAACACATTCATAAATAAGTAATACCTCTATATTTGCGACTCGCAACATTGCTGCCGATAGCAGAATAAATAATCACCGTAGTCATACATTTTTGATTATTTTTCCATCGTTTTAATGCAAAACGTTCAAAATACTTTAAAACTTAAACCATTTTTCTAGATTAGAATTTATCCAAATGCTCGTTTGAAAAATAAATAAATATGCGTGGTGGCGACGCCCACGAATTCTTTATTTCAATAATAAAAAAACTCATATCAGTTTTACATTTGTTTTGTGTAGTGATCATAGTCGAATCAACTTTTTCAAAGCTTGTGGATTAATGAAGCTCTTAAACGGAATAAGAATGGAGACGCCACATAAATTCAATTGACATCTCAACACTGTCAACAGCGGATCAACGACACTCAAACGAAATTAAGTAGAATGTGAAAAAACTGTTGACTTTTACCTACAATACATGCAGTAATTTGTGGTCTTGAACAAAACATGAAACAGTTTGATTTGGGGTGAACGTATAGGCAACATGTATGATCATATTATGATCTTCATATCTTTACTTTGGCTTTCATTTACCTGTACTAAATACGTTGAACACTGTTTACTGCCTCAAAGCGTGATGTGCTACAGTGAACAAATGAATTATTTTCTTATTTAGCGTGATATCCAAATCACGAAAATTACCAAATTTTCAATTCTTCAGCTGATGATCACAAATCGAAAATATTTAAACAAATACCTTTCATTTCCATGAAATTTGTTTATTAATCTGATACTCCGAAATACTGTACAACAATTTACCAAATTGATTTAATTTTTACTCAACGTGATTAAATGCCACACTCCAGTCAGATATGCAAAAGAGTTTATTGTCGGGCCAAACTCAGATGCAAGAGACACTGCCAAATGTAAGGCCAATCAAAATCACCTTCGACATTTTCTATTGCCATCCAAATATAACAAATACAATGAAATTCAAACATGGTCATGAAGCAATAAATCTGAATAAATGTTATATACCTGAGTTGTTGCGAGTAAAAGTGAGAACAGGCAAAAGTGGGCGTAGCCAATGCCGCTAATTAAACTTAAGTCTTTGGCAACTTTATTAGTAAGTAATAAGAGCTCTTGGGCAAAAGAAATGTCTTCGGCAAAAGCCTAAGGTTTTGACAATATCTCAAAGTTCACCAAACACACTTCTTGCCAATATTGTAAGTAACCACAAGTTCAAATGCGCTATTCCCACTTTTATTCTCAGCGAATCATCTGTTTTTTTTTTGTCATTGTGTGCGGTCACAATTCATTGATATTTTTATAAATTTGCGTCGCAAAACTATGTATAAACGCGCAGTATAACTTAAGCTATAGACCAAAGAACAGTGTTTTGTATTCAAAGGCGTGAACCGGTTTTTATATTTCGTTTCAAATGAAAACAACTTATTGTGATTGATTAAAAAAATTGCGGTTATTTTAATCGGAGTTTTCAACGAATTTAAACAAATATTCTGCAAAAAAGACTCATTCCAAAAGATTGGGCACATAAAGTGAACATATTTTAATTCATTAAAATAGTGGCCAAAATGGAAAGAGATCGATGCAAATGGAAAATCATTGGAAATATCTTGGGTTCAGCTGGTGCTGTGGGGAGCATTGCTGCAGGTTTGTCATTTAATGTGATCTCCAAATCACGAAAATTACCAAATTTTCAATTTTTCTCAGCTTCTTCTTCTTCAGCTGATGATCACAAATCGAACATATTTTTAAACAAATGACTTTTATTTCCAGGAATGCTTCTGACAGCTTTGGCTTTGGGTTTTCATGAAAATGCAATAGCTTCCATTTTCATTCTAATGTCAAGTAAATCATTTCGATTTGAGATTTTGACGAATTTCTTAATAAATTTACCATAATTTCAGTATTGAATGCAACATCAAACATTGTATGGCTCTATGCAATTTACAACGTAAGTGCATCGAAATCAGTAGACTTAGATTGAGACTTTTTATTGTATTTTTCATTCCCAATTACTTCAATTTATAGCATAAAGTGCTGCATCTGCAAGTGATAATATTGTGGTGGATTGTTCCGTTGAGTCTATGGTTTTTATTGACGGTTATTTATTCGCTGGGGAAAATTGATGAATTATTAGACACCTTGGAAGACCAATATTACTTTAATCGAAAATCTTACAACAAAATGCTGAATATTATAATATTTAGTGGAATGGGTAATTATCAACGTTTTTTTTCGTTTGTCATTAAAAATGAATTACTATTGTGAACTAAAATAATTAATACATCAATTTTTTTTTCAATACAATATTTTTCAGTGTTCGGCATAGTTTTCTATAGTGTTGCTGTGACCAGTTACATTAAATTAAAGCACATTTTTCGTATACAAAGGGCACCAAATCGATTGCCCATCTCATTAAACCGATCAAATGCCAAATATATAGAATTAGAAACTTTATGAAATGTGAATATGCAACTAAGACTAATTTGAGATAGTAGTTTATCTTCAATGTTGAATGTTTCAATAAATTAAGGCATTTTTTTGCACACCTAAAATCTCTGTTATTGGATCGACTAAATATGATAACTGGATTTTTGCAGCTATGGTCAATCCATTTTTTAATAAAAAACTCTTCTTAATTCTGATTTGATTTTTTTATTTAAATTCGAAGTTTAGTTGACAAAGTCAATGAAAACACATTCAAGATCAGGAATATTTCATCAAAATAACAGAGAAATATACAAAGATGACGTCACCATTTGGACGATCATTTGAAGACATTCGCTACTTTAGACGGAAATTGACGTTGAAACTCGTTTTGAAAATTAAACAATTTCAATACAAAAATGTGACGCAGAATGAACAATGAACATTCAAACACACGGTATGTTTAAAACTCACACAGGTGGCTATAGAAGGCAAAACCAAATTCACGAAAAATCAAAAGAGACGAAAATAAAAAAAATTCGAAGAAGATGAGTCTTTTCATACTCATTGTTGTCTAAACTTACAAGAAATACAGTAATTAGTCTTTTGACCATGGATGAAGTCTTTCGATTTTCAAATGACTCATTTGAACTGACAACACATTTCCTTTTCATTCATTTTCCATAACCGTAAAATTGCAAGAGAATTCACATTACTTCCCACTGTCGGCAAATAAAATACAAAAAATGTAAAACTACTTGTGGAGAAAACAAAAAAAACAAACAAACAAACCAGATGCATGAATACATTTATCATTCAGAAGCGGTCAAATGATAAATATCAAGACTTGAGTCAATTCGTCGCAAGTATAGAATGTGGGTACAATTCATATTCGATATTAATCGTTGCGGAGACTGCGCACTGTGCGCATCGCATTTGAACGTGAGTTATACCAGCCGCAAAGAAACAATTTTCAAATCAATCAACATCAAAACACTTTTCAGTGCAGTGTTGCTATAGTCGCTGTGTTTAAATATTTCGCAAAATTCATAAAATGAGAATAGAAGTGAAACTCAATAATAAGAATAAATTTTTGTGAATAAAATCAAATATTTATATCAAAAAAAAAAAAAATTGTCAAATAGATGTGAAATACCAAAGTGCATAAAATGAAAGATGAACAAAAAATCATCGAAAAACTTTATTTCTTTTTGTCTAGCTTTTTGTGAAACACCTTTGTGTGTATTGTAATATCTCTTTGTTCATTTGTACAAACGATTGAGTGTAATTAAAAGAAAAATACAATAGCGATCTTTTGGACTTATAAGAATTTCGTTGTAAAAACAAGTAATTTCAACTTTCAATTAACCATCGGTAGTTCAATTCAAATGATGTTACATGATAGGTATTTTGCACGTCACAAATAGGAATGCCTGCAAATATGAGTCATAATCAAGATGTTCAGCATAAAGCAAATTTGTTGTCTGTGCGACAACTGATGATCGCGTGTGTGTGCTCAGTATCGTAAAAGCAGTTGACGAAGCAACACAACGATTCGTGCTTTCTTCAACCGAAACAGTGAGCGTTTCGGCGTTGAACTTTTAATTTAAAGTGTCAAGTGAATTTTAATATAATAACCAATAAATTTAATAATAATCAATTTTATGTGTTCAATCAGACTAAATTTGAATATAAATCGTTTGTCTCGTCTGAAAAACCAAATCTAAAATTAAAACATCATCATCACAAGAAACAAAATTACTGAACCGGTGTTGAATATCTATTTTTGGCTAAAAATGGCAAATTACCATACGAATTGGAATTTTGATTGGACCGTCGCTGGCATTGCAATCGGCTGGATAATGATGGCATTGTCCATTGGACAAACGGCGTTTTTTGTGTGCATCGTTTCATTTAAAGGGTCCGAAATATTCTATATTATTACGATATGGATTTTTGGTATGTGTTAAATCAACATCATCAATTTCGCTGAAATCAAATTAATCGAATTAATTGAATATTACAGTTTTCAATTTGCTGGCGACCATTATTTGGATTTCTGGAATCAGCAAAAACATGATAAGATTAATGTTAGCCAGTTTGATCTGGTGGTTCATCTCGCTGTGTCTATGGTTTCGTTTTATATATGTTACAACGCGCAATAAAAAACCAGAAGATAATACTCGTAACATAGTGCTGTATGCTTTAACAGGTACGGCATTTCGAAAATTGTTTTTTTTCTTCACCTGCTAATTGTGTAGTTGACCTGCATATTTATCATTATTCTTTCATTTATTTTTAAATGCAGCAATTCTATTTTCACTGTACGTGCTGGCCGTCATAAGTTACAAGTCATTGGATGGTGTAATTGAGAGAAAAAGACTGGATGCCTTGCGATTGGCCGTATAAATCGCGCGATGTGATAGCGACAACCGCCAAAAAATGATTTTATTATTTAAACATAAATTCATTGTATTTAGTGCAAAGTTGTTTATTTGTATTTGTTAAAAAGTGATAATAATGAGAATTTTAGTGTTTTTAAAAAGATATTTGCCAATTTACGTTAGATAAAATACATGCCATATATTTTTTCGCTTAAAAATAAAGTGAATCAGATAGTAGCATTTGTTTCCTATTTTCGATTCTAGTTTGAATATATGCAAAACAGAAATATACGATGATTCATGCTAATGACCAAGTGAACGACCCAAAACCATTTGACAATTGTTTCGATGTGTGCGTGTTTTAATTGGAGCAAATGAAATGCGTATGTATATCATTTTTCATGCGGCACCCATTCAATTACGCTCATAAAAAGACCCGCTACAAATGCGATAAATGGTATTTCAACACGCGAACATTGTATATTTTACTGTATGTTGCCGTTGAAAATAGCATGTGAATTTATTTGATAGCGTATCGTTTCTTTCTTTTTTATGCGAAAAGCACATGGTTGCAATTGACTTATGTAAACCAGTTACTGCCTGTTATTGTGGAATACACTTCGGACGCGAACAGAATTGCGAAGAAAAATAGTGCGTTTTTGTGTTTAATTTCGATCAGCGCCTGCGTAAAAAAGGGTGTTGAGTCGAAATCACAAATATTTATTGATAGCTGAGAATTCACAATAGAGTTTTAGTGGAAAAATGCATTTTTTTTATTTATTGACGATGTTTGGTCAACTTTTTTCCCTCCTGATCATTCTTTCGATTGCAAAAAGCTAAAAATCAAACAGAGATCATTGAAGGTTAAAATATTTGAATAATATGCACGAGCATCAGAAACCGATACTCAATACAAAACATTGTTTCTTGCCAAATTGACGTTGATTTGATTCGAATCCAAGTGTGAATCATTTTTACAGCGATTTGTTAAACCAAATTCTTGTGAAACTAAATTCTGATTTCGTGTTTATTTCTTCTCCTTTTCTTTGCTACTTCATTTCAATTTTATTATTCGTGTTTTTGGTTGAATCCATGCAAACTTGAATTATCTCATTTGAAATACATCAACAAACTGCCGGTATATGCAACGCGAGAACGGTAATCCGTATGTTTATATACAAAAATAAACCTGAGACCGATCGTTAGCGGCGATTGCGACTGTGTCGATGTATCAGTACGAGATTTTGTATGTACGAAATGTGTCGACGCGCAATAATAGCGTTTTTTCGGTGTTTAGTCGCAATTTAGCGTTTAAAATGTCACGTGTGCATTTTAACAAGAGTTTGTTTGGCTCATCAAACTAATAAGAAATTGCAGTGACAGCGTTAAAAGTGTCGGTTTACCTGCGAATTTAGAAGGGTCCACGATCCAAACTAGAAAACAAGTCAATTTTTACAAGAGCTATGCTAAATTCTTTTAAGTTTGTCACAAATAAGTTTCGCAATCAATATGGAAAATGGACAAACCAGCAATTGTCTCAAGTGGAAATTTACCGGTAACGCATTAGGGATTACATTCGGCATAACGTTTATGTTTTATTTTGGATTTTTGTCCATGTTGATTGAAGCGAAATTGTTACTCGCCGCATTGATGATTGGTAATTAAAAAAAATAATAATTGAGAAAACCGTTTTTTGCCCATTCGATTTTTGTTTTGAAAAAATTATTCTTTCATGAGCAGCATTAGATTTGGCAGCGACCATCAATTGGATGTTTGGCATCATGAAGGTCAGTCAATTTTCATAAAAAACTAGTTTTCTTATCGCTAAATTATCTCGGTAATTTCTGTACATATCAAAAGGACAAGCCTAGTTACCTCCTGGTGGCATTGATCGTTTGGGGTATACCACTCATTATTACTTTTTCTATTTTACAAAAACCACTCAAGACGTATGTTGCACCCTTCAAAATACATGAAATTCTCATCTTTGCTGTGACCGGTATTTATATATATGAATATTCATTCAATAATAAGAAATCCTCGTTAATTTGTACCTTTTTAGTACATTTCGTATTGTTTTATTTTATCTTGATGATGAGCTATCGGTCATTGAAAAAGTTTGCACAGCACAAAAGATCCGAATCAAGCATCGACTGGAAAATTGTCGCTATAGCTGTTGGATGGATTATATTGGCGTTAAACATTGGATTAACGACACTTTTTGTTTTTTGGTCTGTGGTATTCGGAAAAAAGATGGTTCTGCTTATTACGTGTTTAGTATTTGGTAGGTGTGATTTTTGATATATTTTTTTGTCGTTCAATCGAGCGATATTTCACTCAAAATACGATACATTCTAAAAGAGATAAGATATTAATATTTTGCGCTTTTAAAGTAATCAACTTAATATTAACGGCTATGTGGCTGTGGGGAGTCTCGATAGTAAGCTCGAACAAAATCAATGTTTGTTCAATTTTTTTCAACTATTTACTTTTTTATTTGCACAGAAAAAAACGGGATTTATGTTGGTGTCGCTATATTGGTGGACAATGACTTTGATTGTTTGGCTGGTGATTATAATACACGGCATTTACAACGTTCTATCTAAAGGCCAGACACTATATCATTCGCATGATGATTATCTCTATGTAATGACAGGTAATTTTTTACACCTTTCAACAGACGTTTCGTATTTTTTAAAACATTTTTCTTTTGAATTTTTCAGTATTTTGTATAGCTTTGTATTTTATGGCTGTGTGGACGTACAAGTCATTGAAAAAAAGTATTCAAAAAAATGAAGAAGAAAATCATCGCTTTCGTGTGACATATACTGCATGTACTGAAAATAAAGACTTTGGCCCGTAGAATATCATATTACTTTTCCGCACACACATAGTGTGAAAGGGGAAAGTATTGCAATGGGTCAAAATTTACGACATCTCAAAAACATGTTTTCTGGACGTTTCTGAGGTCAGAGAACCCGAATCAGGCCGTTTTGAGCATGGTTGTTGTGGGTCTGTTCCACGTCGTACGTCGTACGTCGTACGTCGTACGTCGTACGTCGTACGTCGTACGTTGTCCGCCGTACGCAAAATTTGTCCATCGATTATCTCACCCCCCAGAAAAGTTATTTGAAATCTGACTTCACGGGATGATTGGGGGTCCCGAGGAATAGAAATCATTAGATTTTGAGCGACTTTGGTCGATGGAAAAAAATTTCATGCCTGTAGTGATACCTATGAAAAAGAGTCCAATTTTCGTCCAAAAGTCATACTTAATGTAGACTTAAACACTCAAAAATATGTATTGGGGAGTTTTTTGGCACGAGAAAACCGAATCCGATGTTTATTTTGAGATACAATTAAGTTTTAACAGAGTTTCTTTGAAAAAATCGCGAAAAATTTAATTTTTGTATGGGAGCCATGCCTGTATGCTACCTTAATGACGTAAAAATTTGCACAGACTATTTTTCACACAAAAAAATAACATTCTGAAAGTTTGATGAGATTTCAATCAAAATTAGGGGTACCTCTCATACAAAATTTTCAATTTTTGGATCAAAAACGAATATTTTGTATGGGAGGTGCTCTTAATTTTGCTTAAAATTTCTCCAAACCCTCCGAATGTTATTTTTTTGTGAGAAAAATAGCCTGTGCAAAGTTTCACACCATTAAGGTAGCATACAGACATGACTCCCATATAAAAATCCAAATTTTTTGTGACTTTAGTTATGAAAAGTGTTTCAAAAATAATTTTCATGGCAAAATTAACGTCAGACATATTTTTTATAGTGTTTTGTTAGAAAATAGAATACTTTCAAATGTCGTACAAATGGGTTCATCATGAAAGTGTAAAAAATCTTTTCTCGAGTACTTCTGCTACGTATTAAATTAAAGAATATTTCGTTGCCAAAGTTGGAACATATTTTTTGGTCTCGGACTTTACGCCGCTTGAAAGGCTTGAAAAATCGAACAAATATTATTTTGAACTTTCTTAATAAAATACACAACTACCACAGTGCGGAAAAGTTCGTCTTACTCCCGTAAGACTCTTTATTGAATATTTGAAATTGTCTTGTTGGGTGTCACATATGAGGTAAGGGGAGTGTGAATTTTCAAAAATCTGATGCAAAAAAAATGTCAAAAGGTAAAATTGAAAGTTTCAATCAGATTTTTGAAAATCAAACATCAGTCAAAGTCCTCAGTAGTTACACTTATATTGAGTGTCTCTATAGAGTAAAGTTGATAATGTAAAAAATATAAATTTCATAGAAATTTAGAGTGAGGAGTATTTATATGTTAAAAATAAGTCAACAAATAAAGCGAATCATTTTGAAATTACTACTGAAATGTTCTAAATGATTCATATTTTAAAAATTAAACATTTTCCAGTGTCTTCTATTTCAATTCTTATTCAACATTCTTAGGGCCAATGGATCAGTTGAATGTATGAGAATTAAAGCAAATTTTAATTCTATTGAACGGCGTCATATTTTTTTTCGTATGAAGTTGTTGTTACAACGTGGCCATTGACAGTCAGTCTCAATAACATCGTTATTCTCTTGATTTTTAGTGGTATCAAACAAATTTTGGTGGTTTAAATTCGCTTCTTTCATTCTCATATGTATAAAATCAACGGAGGAACGAATGTCAGTCTCATATAACAAATTTGGCTATTTGAAAATTCACTTTCCAAACTCGATTATACCTTTTCAAATTTTATCATTTTAGTTTTATCAGTGTGACAAACTTCTGCGAATACCGATAAATATTTATAGCCCATTTAGTAAATTTACCACTATATTGCCGTCTGGTTCCTCATACAAAATCTTCCAAATATAATTTGAGAGTTTGTGTTAATTACATTTTATCCATTCAAATCAACATTTTGTCATTGTTCATTTCTTATTAGTTGTTTTGACAGTTTTGAAAAAATATGAACAAAATATTGGTGATAACATGAGTTGTCCAGAAATTAATTGAGATATTAGCGCCTGGCGTTAGCTTCTATTCAGCTGCTTGAAAATATCTCACTATAATGTCTGGATACGTCACATAATCAATTTTTCATTTATCACAGATTCTTCTGCGCCTCTTTCTCCCGATTAACAGAAAAAAATTTAAACAGTGATAGTAAACAATATAAACTACATTGAGATAAGCCGGTTGTACGATATTTATAGTTAACACTGTTTTTGTGATTGATAATATGTCATCGACCATAACATGTATGTGTGTGTTTTGTAATCGTTGTTATATTGAAAGAAAAAAAAAACAGATGATTGAAATAGTTGATGCCTGTTGTGCTGGTGCGTTTATATGCAGTATCACGATGTTTTTAGACGCAAAAACAATTTTTAAACTCTCGGCTACGATTCATTTGATATTTAAACGATTAATTTAAAGCGTTATGTTAAATTGCTTTTAGTTTGGTATTTTCGTTTGAATACTGGACATTTATTTTTTTTTTGAAACTCGATCAACGGGAGTGCCGTTTCACTATGAACAATTGATTTTATAAACCATTGTTCATTCAGTTGGAAAGTGATCTCATCAAAACTACATGTTTTAAAATAAAACTTTAAATAAACCGAATAGTTCGAGTTGAGTGGTTGTGAAAAGAATTTGCAGCAGAAAAATGGAGAGCGATGCTTTAAATTACAAATCTTCCAGAAAAATAATTGGCTATATGGGAATAGCATTTAGTTTCGCATTGATCACGTTTTTCGGATATTTATTTATACTCTTGAATTTGAACGCTATTCTAATGCTTTTGATTTTTTGTAAGTTTGAAGAGCATCTATTTTTTTCGCAAAGATTAACACATTTTTCTTGTTTTGCAGTTTCAAATTTGATCGCGTCTTTCTTCTGGTTTAATGGAAATGAAATGGTATGAAAATTGCTTTTTGGATGACATTTGGCATGCATACTTAATAATTCGGAAGGAAAACGAAAATTAAATTCAAATTATTTGAAAAAAAATTCTTTGTAATTTTAATTTTTTTTAGAAAAAGACGGAAATAATACTTTCAATATTAGTTTTGTGGGGATTTGAATTGAATTTGTGGACCAGTGTTATCTTTCGATGGCTTTGGACATGCGTTGGAAAACGTGAAAATGATGTTAATCTAACAGAGTCTTTCATATTCACCTCTACGTGTGGGTATTCAACGAAAATAAATGTCGTTTATTAAAAACCATGTGATATTTTGAAGAAATTTGAGCTGATTTACTTCAATGTTTTTAGTGTGTTTCGTGATAATTTACATGTTTTTTGTAATGAGCTACGTTTCTCTAAAAGAGATGATTAAGAAGAAAACGGTGACATCGAGTTTTGGATGGAAAACTACCGCAATCGCATCGGCATGGCTGATAACAGCCTTGATTTCAGCTCAAACGATGGACTATTTGAACTTTAATTCTGTTTGGAATTTCGATAGGTTTGGCTCACTTTTGGTTTTTTGTAAGTTAAAATGAATTTTTTTTATATTCAGTATTCATTCCAAATTAGCACTCCCAAACAGGCTTTAGCTTGACAGCATCCATCACATTATTGTGGTTGTTTTTATGCGGTATCATCAACGTAAGGCGTGAATCGATTCATTTGTCTTCATTTAATAATTCACACTTTTCCAATATCTTTTAATAGAATAAAGTTGAATATATGCTAACTTCGGTGATATTTTGGACGATTTCATTGGTCATTTGGGTGATTTATCTATTTTACAATCTCGATCATTTAAAATCCATCCATGGCTCTGAAACACATAGTCTATACACTTCATATTATATAGGAACAGGTAATTTTTTATCCATTTTCTCTCAATTTTTACATGAAATCTCATTCAATTTCAAATCTTTTCAGCTTTTTACTTGGTTGTGTATATTGCCATTGTTATGAGTTACATTTCAATGAAAAAATCCATTCAAAATCGACAATTTAATGTGACGTATATGGTTGCACCTAGCGACAACAATGGATTCACCGCATAAAACGTGCAATTTTGAGTGAATTCAATTTAATCGGGATAAATATCTCATTTTAAAGCAAATTGAATATTGTTTTTAAACTAAAAATTCACTTCGACACATTTAATACAAACAGTCTAGTCTTTCGTAAAAAAAGATGCTAATTAGTTGACATTGAAAAATTGTTGTAAATTTAATTTTTTTTTGCTGCAAAAACTACATTTTTCCTTTGACACTTGCTTATTGGAAATTGCACTTTGAAATTGCTTTCGGTTAATAGAATTGTTTTCCGTCTTTATTTTAGTATGTGCATTGTGACAATGCCATTGTCCAAGCAGTCGCTCCCTTAGTTTATATTTATTAAGGAATTTTCTTCTTTCTATTTTCTCATTTTAGATCATTCTTGTTGCGTTAATAAATTCATAATCCGTTACAATATAAACAACTAAATGCAAATGAGTTTCTTTTGGTATTCTTCATTTAAGCGAGTCATTTTCATTCTATCTGCAGACAGAATAAACACCATGATGTTGTAATTCATTCATCCAAATAAAATATTCATTGTAATTCATGTAAAAATACTTCAAGATTGTCTGCTACCTCTGAATCGAGTACTTGAGAACTGGAATTGGTTGCAGAATGTCGGTTTTGGTCTTACTCAACATACAATGTCCATTCAGTGTTCGATACGCTGTTACTAAAGAAACACGTATTAAGACATAGTCTTGTTTACTTGGCATCATTTTCAGATTCTGCAAGTCTTCTTCAGTCAATTTGTTATTAAAATTTTATACTTTTGCTCGATTTTGCTATCCGAAAATCATGGAACGTACACAATCAAGCATTTTTGGCTGGGAAACAGTTGGCAAAGCTATTGGTTGGATTGGAATCGGATTGAATGTTGGACTTGGAATATTTTGTGTATCTCTATTCTGGCTATTGAACGGGGAAATTTATTTGATTTTTACGCTTGTGATATTCTGTAAGTAAATCGCTTAAAAAAAGTTTAAAAAAAAGATGGGCATCAATAGTTATCTTTTTACAGTTCTGAATTTGATAGCAAGCTACTACTGGCTCATTGGCATTGCTAAGGTAACGTGAATTTGGTTTAAATCATTCTAAATGATAATCGAAACATTTTTCGTAATTTTATAGAAGAAGAAGTGGTTAATGTTGGCTTCGTTAATTTGGTTCTCGATTCCTTTGAGTATTTGGGGTACTTTTATGTTATTCATCTTATTTGAAGGAATATGCCGAATGTTTGAAGGCAAAAAACCATTTGTACAGCACGATTATCTTGTCTTTGCAATAACAGGTACTTGATTTAGTTTTAAAACCGAAACTCACAACACACAAGTATAAAGTCAACCGCTTTTGTTTCGATTTTTTACAGCGTTTTGTGTAGTAGCATACTTTGCCGCCGTACTCAGCTATAGACCAATACAAAAACATTTCCGAACGAATAGTACCGAAACTCAACGATTAAATGTGTCGTACACAGTACAGTCGAGAAATGAAGAGCTTATTCAAAAGTGTGCCTGCGAACCGAATTGTGATTGTTGCGAACGAAAAGACAATTCACGTACAAAATGAAAATATAGACTGATTTGAATGAGTGACCAACGCAGTTGTAATGCGTTTCAACGGTTTTGCTCTCTCCGCTTCGCGGTTCTTTGTCCATTTTCGTCGCAATGTGTGCATCTGCCGCTGACAACATTTACGCGTTTCAACATCATTATCGCGTGCGTTCTATCATTCGTGCTTATTAAATCTAATAATAATACTTCGAATACACTCAACAATTCAGTTGAAAAAAAAATGTAAACGATACAATTTGCCGTCATTGTTTATAACGTGTTTTATTAAAGTAATATATTTATAAATATTTAAATGGTAGATTTAAAATGAACGGAAAAAAATCATTTGTATCGTCTCTTTTTCATATATATTTCACAATCATGGAGCCTGCGAACCAAGAACCTGTACGTTTCGACTTGACCTGTGAACTTAAAGGAGTTTTTTTTTCATTTATTATTCATCAAAAATATATAAAACAAATTTCAGCTGTAACGTGTGATTATTTGAATGAGATAAAGTTTAAAACTTGATTTGATGTAAGAAAGTCTCTTGATATCAACGCACATTTACTTGAAATTGAATGCCCACATCTCACATTAAGAGCGCTACATAAAACACGTAAAAATGAATTGTTTCAATTGTAAAATCAAAAATTAGTGGCCGATCATTAGGTGTGATAACAATAGTTAGTCGTGAGTTTTGGATTAGCACTAATTTGTCTGCCGACAAACCTCAAATGTATATTAGCCGGTGATTTTTATGCGATCGACATTTTGAGTTCATTAGGTAAGCGTCTTATTTGGATGTATATTCAAAATGCCGGCGAGGTCGAAATTTTTTTTTTCAATCATCTCATTCAACTCTACCTAAAGTCTCCTTAAGTGTATGTGTACTTACAGGTATTATAGTTTGAAAGATCTCTTCTCATTGTCTACCCAATGTCTACCTTATATATACCTAGGAAATATTAGTTCAAACCACTATTTCTGTGCAGTATGAATTTTGGAATGGGAGTTCATCGTTTTGAACTGCTCATATACACCAAAATGAAATTCCAAGAAATTCTTACGGATCTTAACATTTGTTAGGTATCTACCTTAAGTCTACCTCAAGAATATATCATCGCTTGTGTAGCGTTTTCCTCAGTTTAGATATTCATAATATTTATCACTTTAAGGTGAACGATTAATTTAAAGCTACACATAAAAAATGGATAAATTTAGAAAAGAGCAAGGTAAAAATATATTATTCTAAAGGTAGACTTTAGGTAGACTTGATTAGGACTATAAAAACGTGGAGACTAAAAATAGTTTCCGTGCTAGTGAAGCCTAGCGGCAAGTTGAATATACAGAAATATTGATCCATGAATATTTTTTTCAACTTCGAGGTACACTTTTTTTGTTTTTTGGTATACTTAAGGAGACTTTAGGTAGAGTTGAATGAGATGATTGAAAAAAAAAAATTCGACCTCGCCGGCATTTTGAATATACATCCTCTTATTTTCATTTGAATCATTGTTGGTCTAAAAATTCAAATGCATTTTCGTTCAAGGTAATAAATTTGGTGTGTAGTGTCATGTGGATGTACAGATTTCTAAAGGTAAGCACAAAATAGGTCGATTGTACATCATATATTTTTTTTTTAATTTTGACAAACGACTTTTTGTGCGAAAATTAAGATTTTGTAAAAAAAAAAATACTTTACTGCACACAGTGCGGAAAAGTAATATGTGTATCAGTTTCCGAAATCGGATGGATTTCAAGAAGAATTTGTTGTTATTTGGAAACATTTTATGGATATTTAAGAGATATAGTTTTGCGTTTTGCGATATCGTAATACATTTTTATTAAGATGATAATTATTATGTTCTATATCGTTATTAGGATTGGATCTTAATAACGTTATTATGATTTTATTAACTTATCATGATAAAATCATAATAATGTTATTAGGATTACATCCTAATACTTATTATGTTTTATCATAATGTTTATTAGGATTGATCTTAATAAATACCGTGTTCACTTGATAGCATATTGTTATTCAGCCAAAAACAATTTTCAACAGATGGCGCTACTTCAGACAAGTGAAGTGTCCACGGTATTTATTAAGATGAATCCTAATAAATATTATGATAAAACATAATAAGTATTGGGATGTAAACCTAATAACATTATTATGATTTTATCATGATAAGTTAATAAAATCATAATAATGGTGGGAATGCTTATTATTACTAACTTATCATAATAATTTTTTATTACGTGCAAAACTATATTAAGAGATGCTCATTATTACAGGAAAAGCCGAGATTTTTATTAGCGTCTCTTATTTTGTGGACCGTACTTTCATGTCTGTGGATTATCCTCTTAATTTTACTGATGTTCCAGCGCATCTTCAAATTCATAAATGGTGTAAATTTGGGTCGAGGCGATTACGATTTTGTATACATAATAACACGTACGTTAAATATTTCTTGAATTCGCTGGATGCTCTGAATTAATATGCTTTTCTGTTCATTTTTCCAGTAACATTTGTTTTCTTTTACTTTGTCGCTGTGATGAGTTACATTTCTACAAAAAACGCTATTCAAAAATCGGAACAATCCAAAGTGGAAGTAGCGAATTCAATAGAGAACGGCAACGATCAAAATGAAATAGAATGTATATAAAACATTTGCCAAGCCAATATGTAATAATATCAAAAATGATTTTTTAAATTTCGAAAAACCGACTGAACGTTTGAGATAACTCGTGAAAAAAATCTGTGTGCAAAACAATTTCATTATTATAAGAAGTATTTCGGGCACTGCTTTTTCACAATCCAAACTGGACCTGAATATTAAAACACTGTCTAAATGCCTGAATCATTAGAAGTCTATCAATGTGATCTATCAAATAAATATGGATTTACTGATTGCACGTTATGTAATACTAATTCGTCTTGTCCTTTCAAATGTCAAGTGAGCTGTTTATTGTAAGACAAATATAGAATTGAGATTCTGATTATCTGTTAATGTTTACTTGAAATTTCGTCATTTTATCTCAGTTGATTTATGGAAGTTGTGCACAAAATACGTGTAATTTAAAAAACAGAAATGGATTTATTTAGATTCAACTGGAAAATCATCGGTTTATTATTAGGTGTGGTATCGATAGTGGCAAGTATCACATTTTCATTGATATTGTTGTTTGGTGTTTATTATCATTTGGTAACTATCATCTTGGGTGCATTTGGTGAGCTACAAATGTAAAAAAGACACGTTTTTGATCCATATCATTTATTCTGTCGACTTTTTTGCTTCTAAAAGGAGTAAATTTGGCTTGCAGTATCATATGGGTACGCGCAATTTTACAAGTAAGTGAAAAATTAGAGAAAAATCACTATCGATTTAATAATGAATTGAATCCTATAAAATCGATTTAAGATTGGAAATTGAATTTTAAAATGCTGAAAAAAATGAATAATAACAATGAAAATGAAAGAAAAAATGTTATGTTTGCAGCAAAAGCCAAGTGCTTTGTTAATCTCTCTTAACTGGTGGATCTTGCTCTCGTTTTGTCTACTATTGACTCTAATGTTTTTAAACAATAAATTCAACGATTCAACTATATTTTTTATAACGAGTAAGGCAAATATTTCTGTAATTGGACATTTTGAATTCATATTTTGGTAAATTTTTTAGTATTTTTGATTGGATTTAATTTTGCTGCTGTGATGAGCTATATTTCGATGAAAGAAGCAATCGGTGATACATTGGAATAACTAAGAAGGAAGGTATCCGATACATAGCTGAAAAATGATCAATGCAAAGCATTTTAAACACATACAATTAAGCAATGGCACATGAAACCGATAAAAACCGAGATCCTCCTTTGGAAATTATCCTCCCCCTGGATCGCCAACGTCAGAAGCTATGCTTAACAAAATTATTTCTTTAACGCGAACAAATCGATATCTTTCTAATTCAATAATAATCGACGATTTAATATAAACTAGTTTAATATAAATATTAATCACAATTTATAAACCAAAATAAAATCAAATCAAAGGCAATTTAGTGGAGATATTTATTTTCATTAAAAATGAATAACAAAAACCCTTAGGTAATGCTTGAATTGTCTCCAATTGCAAAATCGTCTTTGCTTTAACAAAATTTCCCACTATTAGACCAAGAGCCACCGTGCAAATTACTTTTTTTTCTGTGTACGGCAGATTTTCATGAAATTATCATCTTCACACTGTGTACTGTCCGAATAATATCACTTTTTTCATTGTAATTGGGCGGATCGCGAGATCCGCGGTTTTATTCGCGCTACACGAAATAGTATACTTTTTTCGCACTAATACGGCAGATTTTTGTGTTAAATTCTTCGTTTTGATCCAACTATATTGAAAAGTAAAAAATCTGCCCAAATGAGTGGGCAAATTGTTCAAAAAACAACAAAATAAACAATAATATGACACTACCATTACTCAACGAAACACAAATGTCAGTTGATACAATGGGTGCGTTCAATACCTTGTGTCAAATTCATCAATATTATTGTTTATTTTGTTGGTTTTTGAACAATTTGCCCACTCATTTGGGCAGATTTTTTACTTTTCAATATAGCTGGATCAAAACAAAGAATTTAACACAAAAATCTGCCGTATTGGTGCAAAAAAAGTATACTATTTCGTGTAGCGCGAATAAAACCGCGGATCTCGCGATCCGCCCAATTACAATGAAAAAAGTGATATTATTCGGACAGTACACAGTGTGAAGATGATAATTTCATGAAAATCTGCCGTACACAGAAAAAAAAGTAATTTGCACGGTGGCTCTTGGTCTATATATAACTTTACCACATTACCACTTCTTCTGATAAATCGTTTAAACGCAGCTAAAAAGGCTTCAGCTGTTCAATCCGATACAGCTTCTTAAGTGTACTGCTCAAAAAAGAAAATAAATTTTCGCATCATTACGCCATAGGCAGATTTATGATAGAACGTGATAATGGCCTGAATTTGAATCTATCATTTTTGATATAGAAAAATATCTATATTTCAATGAGCTATTCCGGCGAAATTTTGTACTACACCCGAAGAGTTAGCAAGCGGGAAATTGAGATTGGACCTTAATTCACCGAATTCAGCCAACATTCAGGCCATTATCACGCTCCATCATAAATCTGTGGAGGCAAATTTCATTTTACTTGTCCGCACACCTAGTGTAGGAAAGGTATTGTAGTAGGCCAAAAAATTAAAGTCACCCCAAAACATGTTTTCTATGCATATTTCATGTAGAAAACACGATTGGAGATGATTTTGGGGCATATTAATGTGCGTCGCTGTGTGTGATGTGTCCTGTGTCCTGTGCTACCCTCACTTGCTTTCTATATCACCTGTATATTTTTTTTGAGCTTCACGTTCCGAGCGACATCTCTATGTGCTTGGCATTGAACTCGCGATCCAAACGAGCACCAAAGGCAATTAAAACATTTTTTTTTTTGGTGCGAAAAAGTCAAAAATGTCAACTGATTTTGTGTGAAGAAAAACCATGTGATATGCAACGTCCTCGCAGTTAATTTCGATGACACAAACTGTGCAAAGTAATTTCAATTTATTTTCCATCACAAATTCACTAAATACAAATAATAAATCGGTTTTTGTTCAATTTACACGGTATATCTTTATCGAGCGTAAAATGACAGACGTCACAACAAATGATTCCGTATTCAAACTTCAAACAATTAACATTCTACACAAACTTTTTGTTCTAATTTTCATGAGCACATAGAGATGGCGCCATCATGCAGTTTTTTACATTATTTGCCATTGTAAGTGATGGTAGGTCCTGTGGCTCCTTTTTTTGTTACCGCGATAGGTCTTCTTCCAAAAACTCAATTCAAATTCTGACTTTGCAAGATGATTTGGGACTACTAGAAGACGTGCTGATTAGTTTTTGAACAATATCTGTTGACCGGTGTATTTTTTTTTGGTCAGAATGGAGTACCCACATCCATACATTTTTTGATCATTTTTCAACCATTTTGGTGACACGATGGTTTCGTGCTCAGACATGAAATTCAAAATCTGACTTTAATGATGATTGGGCACTACAAGGAATAGATCTTGTCAAATTTCCAACGACATTGATCGATCGGTGTAAAACTTAGACTGTGAAAAGGCACTTATGAGAAAAATGCCTTAAAATGATATTCTTTCAATTTGAACGCTGAAAGAATGTGTAGTGGGGGGTTTTTTGGCACGAGAAACCCGAATCTGATGTTAGTCTTAAGATGCAGCCAATTTTTTTACAGACTTTTCATACAAAAATCCAAAAAAAAATTTATTTTTGTATGAAAGACATGCCTTTGTGGTACCGTAATGATGTGAAACTTTGAACAGGCTATTTTTTTGATTGAAATTTCTTTAAACTTGGTGTGATTATTTATTTTGATAAGAAAATAATATTCACAAGTTTTCACGGTAATTTAAGTTACTGCAACCATACATAGACCATCATTTCTGTTTATTCACAAAATTTCGGTTCCATGCGGAAAAGTCAGCTTGCGTACGTAAGCCTCTTTATTTTTTTCAACTTTAGTCCCTGTATATTAATATAGGCGAGAAAAAAGTCGCAGAATAATGCGTCATCTGTTGACGTGGTTATCAATGTATGTAATTACAAAGACAGAATTGTTGGATTCTGTCTTGACTAAATTTTGATATCGGTTGTTTTCAACCACAATTCGCACACGTTACCAGATGGCGTTTTTACATACAATGATTTTTGGATAGAATAGATCCGTAAGATCTCCGCAAGATCCAGATCCAAGTGTGCGTACGTAGCCGCATGATACATACATTCGTTATTCCGTAATGCTATGGCATGCGAATCAAAGTATGCGAAATAAGAATAACGAATTTGCATGCGTATTATATATGTATGCATCATGCGTCAGCGTACGCACGCTTGGATCCGGATCTTCCGAAGATCTTACGCATCTATCCTATCCAAAAATCATTGTATGCGTTTTTACAACATGGCATCTCTCAGTCATGATGGTTGTTAAAATCGCTATCGCACACTTGTCTACACAAATTGTCTGTATGTTATTGTTTTCTTCTAAGGCCGTCAATAGTAAATTTATGAATATTTTATAGTTAAAATTTGTTAGTTTTTTTATGTGTGTAACAAAAATACCATTCTCATTAGCTGTATTTATACAGTCGAGTTGCAAATCATGTAAATATTGCGTAAATCTGAACAAATTTTGACAAATGTGTACACAAAAAATTTGCAAATTGTCATAAGCCCCTAGCGTCATCATCAGCTGTAGAATTTTAACTAAAGGCGCTAGCCGGTTAGAGTAAGACAGATAATGATGTATATGCTTAGTGAATAATCTTGAAAAGAGATGATGATTGTTGTTCTCTGTTTATGTTGTGGTTTCTATTTTAATAGATGTGTATTGATTCCAGTACATTGAGTTTGTTACTTTTCCGCACACCCAGTGCGATTTCGCGATTCATATGGACTTTGTATGATTTGTTTTTGTGAGGTGCCCGTAAAAGACGTTTTTTGTGTTTATCAAGAATTACATCTATAAATTTATAAAAATAAGTCTGGAGTTCTCTATGAGGTTGTTGTTCAACCTTGCCTTCAATATGTCTTTGATGAGAGCAATTGTTTTTTGCTAAAAATTTCCCGTGTGCAAAAAAAGTGACTGACTATTTTGGGAAAATTTGACTGAAGAAATAGACAACTTTAATTAACATCAATTAATCAAGTAAACGATCTAGAATAAAAATAAAATGTTGTATGCTCGCATATCGAAACGCGACTCAAAATGATTGCACATCAAAGCCACACCATATTTTGTTACTAAAGGAATATGGGAAATTGACTTTTTTTATACAAAGTATGTAAGTTTCATTTTGTTTTGATAACTGGCTACTGTCTTTACATTTTGATTCAACGCGCTGAAGTTTTTTTCACTTTGCCATATAGCAGCGGCTGCTAAGTAGCCAAATGATACCTTTTATGGGAGCAAGACTAATAATCAACTGGTTAAACGACTGCAGTTAACAAAATTCATCAGTCAGTCTTTTGCACAAGGGATATGTTGTTTTGTGTCTAATCAAGTTTTAAAAGCACGTTGCCAATAAAACGATGAGACAATATATCTTCCAGACAGCAATTGTCACTCGATTATAAAGAAATACTCTCAATTTTATAACATAAAACGTCTCTTTCTAAAATGTATAAAAAGAGCAATACCAAAATTCATTTTATTCATTATCTTTTCAGATATAAAAGTGTAGAATTTTTACTTACGATTTTCAATATTGTGGTTTTTTTTTTATTAAAAACAAATTTATTGTGAAGTATCAAACACAGTACGAAGTAAGTGTGTGAAGTATTTGTGTTTATTTGGGAAAATATTTCTGAAAACTTTGATGATTTTTTAAAAATATATTTGGAATGAATAAAAGAAAATAGCTTTTGAGTTCTAAATTCTAAAGCACCTAATTGATATTCAAAATAATAATATTTATTCACCGCCAAGAACTGGCTGAATCTTAGTTTGAGTTTATACATAATTTTTATACATCTATTGGTGGGAAAAAAGGTATGAATCAATGATGTAACACACATCTGATCACCGTTAAAAACCACATCTTTTCAATAATAGAGTTATGATACAATTTTCAGTCCTGTTACAGGAGAAAATTGATAAATATATAAATAATTAGATACTAATAAAACTTTCAAAATGCACGTATTTATGAGTCAAAGGAAAAAATGGATCGAATTCAATAGGAAAAAACCAACCGAGATTGGAGAAATATTATTATGAGATTGGAGAAATATTTTTACGGGAACTTTTCACCCGCGCCATCCTTATTTATGTCAGTGAACTTGATTTAGATCAGTCGAATTGAAACGAAAAAGAGGAGAAAAAACAACAACAATAGTATGGCCACACAGAGCTGTACATCTGTGCTGATGCATACATACAGATATACGCTCTCTTCATTCTTTCATTTTATTGTTATACGTATCTCACTAAACAACAGATCTATGTAGCCATGTTAATGAACTTGAATACAATGCAAAACATGAAAGCGAATATATCAGGTATCAACTATATGGGTGCCTACTCTCACTTACAGTCGGCCTTCAACGCGACTCGATTTAAGAAGCGCCATCTCTTTCACGCCAGGTTCTCATATATTTTTTTCTTGCAAATAAAATTGCAAAATTGTATAAATTGAATAAGTTTTGCAATAATAATAACGAAAATATTTAATAGAATTTATAATAAATAAAAAAAATTGAAAAAACACACAAATATTCTAGCAAATATTTTATATTATATGATTCACCAGAATAGCTTCACTTCGTGTTGTTTACGTTATTTCTTTTGACAGATATCAATGTTTGACAAATACATATTTTCTCCACGTAACCATCTCTACATGGTCTACAAGGCAAAGCTACATATCATATAATATAAAATATTTGTGTGTTTTTTTCATTTTTTTTTATTTATTATAGTGACGCAATACCCCTATACATATGAAATATGTATATTTTGCGTCACTCTATATATACGTTAAAGAAATGAAAATCGATACCGCTGACTTTTGGAAAGGATTTTTTGCATATTTTAGTAGTGCTCGGGCACCAAATTAAGAATCCGCAAAAAAAATTTAAAAATTTCAAAGTTTGGCCGCCAGGGGGAAAACATTTTTTTGAAAAAATCGCTGAAAATTCATTTTTTTCGATTTTTGACCACCGAAATGATTTTTTAGAATTTTTTTTTGGCCATATTCGGAATCCAGGGAGTGCGTAGATAATGTTAAAAAAAAGATCATCATGATCGGTTGAAAAGTGGCCGACATATGGTCAATTTGCCAAAAATGGCCAAAAACCTCGAAATTGGCCGGTTGAGGTGTTTGTATGGCTGTCCGTAGTTTCTTTTAAATTGTGTGAAATTATTTTTTTTCGAAAGTAGACTGAAAACTAAGCAAACTAATTTCTCAGTTTCAAAAAATTCGTTGCGTAAGTGGTTTTGGTCTGGGGTCGAACATTTTGGGGAGGCCGTATTTGAGTTTTTCATCAATCACACATTTTTCTGGCCATCTGTAAGGTACCACAATGATTTATACGTCGTTGGAAAGGTAAAAGACTCACCTGGAAAATGGAAAAATTTTCAAAAATGTCCACCAGGTGGCTTGTTATGTGACATTTTCGGCGAAAAATGACCATGACTTTTTTCACGTGATCCAAATTTTTAAAAAAATGCGTCTATGAAAAAAATCAAAAAACTAGGCGTTTGTTAGGGACCAAATATGTGATGATTTGGCGTATGTGTCATATCTGGGAAAATTCGTTTTTTTTAAAAAATACTCCGGAGTTGAAATTTTTTTTTCAGCAAATTTTCAATTTTTGGCCATTTTTGATCACAGGTATACGGGGTGTTTTTTAACAGAATCACGTCATTCTTAGCTTATTGGAAAGTCATTAAGGTCATCTTGATGAAGCAATAGAGAAATTTTGAAAAAAAAAATTCAGCGGAAAAGGTTATATCAGAATGACTGATCCAAAAAATGGGGGAAAATCGATGAAAATCGAAGTTAATCGTCATTTATCTTGAAAAAATGTATGTTTTGCTTCGATTTTTTCCTTATAGATCGAAAGCGCACTCAATTTTGAGCCGATATAGACATTTTGAAACGACAACATTCTTTTATTTGGTAAAAATTGGTAAAAGTGTGAACTTAATAATATTTCGGGAAAAATTGGCTTTTATTCGATTGCTATAAAAATTGGTATTTGGGGGTTTTTGGTACGGGAAAACCGAGTATGACATTTATTTTACGATAAAATTAAGTCTCAACACACTTAGCGTTAGGATTTTGTCATCAACATACTAAAAAAACTATTGATATAAGTATAAAACACTTCTTTCGAAGTTCTCACTGTGACGCAATACTGTAAATCTGAAAATGTTCTGATATAAATTTTCAGTGACGCGTTCGTTCATATACATACAAATATTAATATTGCGTCGCCTCTGAAAGTCTAACACAAACAAAAGACGTGTTTAATGTCATAATCAAAAATAATAAGCAAAAAAAGTGCTGTTTTCATTGAATTCTATTATTTTCGTGTTGTTTACATGTTATCGTTCTCTTGAGGTAAAAGAGGCGACGCAATATTAATATTTGTATGTATAATGTATATGAACGAACGCGTCACTGAAAATTTATATCAGAACATTTTCAGATTTACAGTATTGCGTCACAGTGAGAACTTCGAAAGAAGTGTTTTATACTTAATATAAATTCTATTAATTATTTTCGTTATTATTATTGCAAAACTTATTCAATTTATACAATTTTGCAATTTTATTTGCAAGAAAAAAATATATGAGAACCTGGCGTGACAGAGATGGCGCTTCTTAAATCGAGTCGCGTTCAAATACATTGTCAATATAAAACGTAAGTGATACTCGGAACGATCAGTTAAACAATATTTCTTTTTGTTAATCGATGCAGTTTCCATCGGTCCCATTAAGTCGGTGTGTATTAACTCAAGAATGTCTTTGGATCGAGTTTCACTTACGACAACTTTTTGCACGCGCACAAATTTCACATTGTTTAGCTGATCGTTCACCACCCACATAGTTGATACCTGATATATTCGCTTTCATTTTTTGCATTGTATTCAAGTTCATGTGCCCCAGGCGTCGATGCCACGTGAGTGCATTCGATTCAAATACTTTATCGCTGTATAAACATTTTTCTGATTTTTTTCAGATTTTATATACGCCATTCTTGGGTGTACACTTCACAATAATTTCGCCGTTTGCATTTTAATAGTGCATGCATTTTTATTGAAAATCACAATGTTGCCCTTTTGGCAGATTTTATATACTGAAAGTAAATTCACCACAATATCAGGCATGTGTAGCACATCGTCTGCTTCAATTTCAGTATCTTTTAGCTCGATCGTCACTTTTCCACGTTTTTCTACTTTCATTTTGCCATTATTCGCACTTGTTATTTCACTTATATTGAAATGCTTCACACTGCGCATATTTTTATCGCTGGGTGTCATATGACGTCCGCAGCCGGAATCAATATGCCATTCGTCATCAAATGTATCGTCTTTGCAAATAAGTGTTACAAATGCAGCTTTCTTCTTGGAATCATCTTTTCTATCAGATTTCTTATCATTTTGATCATTTTTCGACTCCTTTTTGTCACATGCATTGCTAAGATGAAATTTGGATCCGCAAGAGAAACACTTTCTCTTTGGTTTTTTGAATTTCTTCCCCTTGTTGAAAAAAGCACTTGATGCATTCGATAGCTGTAGATCGAATAATTTAGAATTAACGAAATCTGATGTGACCGGCTCCGTATTTGTTTCCAAACTATATATTACTGGTCGAAATTCCTCAGTAAGTCCAGCAAGCGTGAACGCCACTATTGCTCTGTCATTCATCGGAAAACCAATTCCATGCAGCTTATTAAACGATGATTTTAGCTTGGCTATATAGTCATTCATGTTATCGCAATCCTCAAGTCTTGTTGTAGTTACTTCGTGCCAAAGCGAGATCTCACTCGAAAGGCCACGATCCTCATATAGGTTTTTTAATATATTCCATATTTCAAGAGCTGATTCGGCCGTTTGAATGTGCACATATATATGAGTTTCAACACTAAGTGAAATGATTGCTTTTGCTTTTGCCAGTTTTGCTGCATCCGTTAAGACTGCTATATTTGGTGTCAAAGTGCTTGCAGGCTTTAATGCAGTTGACAGTTCTTGAAAAGCCAATACATTTTCTATTGCGAATTTCCACGAATGAAAGTTTTCCGAACCTTTCGATTTCACAATGTCGAATTCTTTACCCATTTTATTTGAATGTGAGTGAGAACACATAAAAGTTCACCAAATTAAATTCCAATTTAAACTTTTCCCCTGACTATTTTTAATCGAACACATCAATTTTAATGATGATTTTGGGCAGTGATGGTTTTTTCCTATCTGAATAGCGCTAGCTATTTTTTGCAAATTTGATTGTGTGGTGCCGATTGATTAATTCGCAAGAATTTGTTGTTGATTTTGAAATACTCGACACTTCTCAAGTTGCGTTCATTTTGATTCCGAAAAATGTCTGTTTCTTCCTCAAAGCCGACTACATTGCAATGAATAGGTCACACTGCAATTATGTTCCATAAGAGACTGTATAAAATGCAAAACTATAGCACAGCTAGTGCCACTACGTACAACTATGGAGTTCTAGTCAGTTGTTTGTTGTCAGTCTTTTCACTAGTTGGCGGCAACTTAGTATAGATTACATTGAATTCCATCGTGGCGCTAGCTGTGTGACACTTTGAGCATAATTTCGGTACGGAATAGGTACTTTGCAGAAATCTGACTGTACAGGATGATTGGAGGTCGCGAGGAATAGAAATCATTAGATTTTGAGCGACTTTGGTTGATGGACAACAATTTTATGCCTGTAGTTATACCTATGAAGAAGAGTCCAATTTTCGTCCAAAAGTTAGACTTTATGTATTGTGGGTTTTTTGGCACGAGAAAACCGAACCCGATTTTAATTTTGAGATACAATCAATTTTTGATACAGTTTCTTTACACAAAAAAAAATAACATTCTGAAAGTTTAAAGAGATTTCAATCAAAATTAGGGGTACCTCCCATACAAAAAATTTTTGGCTTGTGAAAAAAATAACATGTGCAAAGTTTCACACCATTAAGGTAGCATACAGACATGGCTCCCATACAAAAATCCAAATTTTTTGTGACTTTGTTATGAAAAGTGTCGCACAAATGGGTTCATCATGAAAGTGTGAAAAATCTTTTCTCGAGTACTTCTGCTATTAAATTAAAGAATATTTCGATGCCAAGGTTTGAACATATTTTTCGGTCTCTTTAAGATAATAATTTTAAAATTATTTTGAACTAGCTTAATAAAATACGCATCTACCACCGTGCGGAAAAGTTCGTCTTACTCCCGTAAGACTCTTTATTTCTCTACTAGGATTGACGGAAAAATCGAACAATTCAACTTAAAATAACGTCAATCTCAGTTGGATTTGGCCTAAAACGTCCTAAATTAGTTAACTGACTAGTCAGTCAGTAATTTTCCACAAGGGTTTAAATGATTGTGTTTAAAATTTCATTGGTTTAGAGTCTTCAAAAAAAAACCACAATGACATCATGTCAGTTACGGTGAAGATAGCGATCAAATAGGATACAGTTTTTGTTTTATTAGTGTGTTTTAACCAACTATCATGATCGGTAGAACTTGAAATGCAATACGATGTTTTACGATGTGAAATTGGTCATGCAAATGTGCAACAATATTCATAAATGTGACAAGTTGGCGATTTGTCGAGGCACTCATGAATCATGATGGTTGCTTTTAACCAGTGTTTGTCAAATGGCTTGCTATATAGAGCTTGCTTGCCTGCGTCGCCTATCGTGCGGCAAGCAACCAAACATGCGGACACATATACGGCAAACGAACCATATGTACCAAACAGTTTTCGTTCGTGCGAGATGCGGTATCTATGTAGACGTATTGGTTGCACGTACGAAAACCGTGTAGTAGATATGGTTCGTTTGCCGTATATGTGTCCGCATGTTTCCTTGCTTGCCGCACGATAGGCGACGCAGGCAAGCAAGCTGCTTATAGCAAGCCGTATGATATTCTCTGCTTTTAACTCATTCCTTAATCTTTTTCGTACCATGACTACACAGAATTTTTGTATTACGATGAAGAACCAATCTAATGGTGAGCTCACTCTCCCCGATGCTTCATTGGTGCGAAGTATTACGACGCGTGCCCAGCGCGAGATGTTTCTTATTCAACAAATGCGTCCTGAAAGTAAATGCAACATTTCATCTTACATGATTATCCGTGGTCCATTGGATTTGGAAGCTCTAACAAATGCGATCAGTCAGCTTGCTTTGCAGATCCCTTTATTCCAAACACGGTTTGCTTATTCGGATGGAGAACTCTGGCAGATACATGATCGAAATATACGTCCAAATATGAGAACAATTGATATCAGCAATCACTCCAAGCCGTTCGATGAGGCATTAAAAAGAATGAGAAAGGCCGAAAATCAGCCCTGTGTTATAACCGACGATAAATTGTCTGAATTTATTTTCTACATCGTCGATAACAATACGCATGTCCTTCATGAAAAAGCTCATCACAGCATTATCGATGGCAGATCCCACTCTAAGTTCGATGACATGATCATTAACGCTTATAATAATTTAAAACAAGGCAAACCAATCGTTATTTTGCCTGAATTACATTTTGATGCACTCGCTCAAGCGGACCTCGCCTATAAAGCTTCAGTAGAGCATAAACAAGACGAGAAATTTTGGAAAGATCGAGTGCAGTCATTGAAGCACCATGCTTACACACAGCGAAATGTCGATTCTCTGTTGAACAAAATCACTAATCGTTATACACACTCATTGAGTATCAGCGAACGCCAAAAACTTCAACAGATAGCAGCAGAAATGCATATTCCAGAATCCATTCTCTATATTGGCGTATCAAAACTATTGTTTCGAAGCCTACATGGCAATGAATATGTAAGCCTCAGCTTACCAGTGAGTGGAACGTATTTGAGACGAGAACTTGGCATGACATCTAATATCGTGCCACTGCTATTGTGCATACCTGACTATGCTACGCTCAAAGAAGTCTTTATGAATGTTGCTCAAGAAACTAAATCCGTTCTTGCCCATCAACGTTATCGCATCGAGGAAATTCTACGACACGCCAATTTTGGACCACACATCAATGTTATGCTTCGTGATAATAGACAGGAATTTGAAAATTGCAGTTCCACACATCATTTTGGCACAAACATCGATACCAACGAATTACAAATAACATTCTGGTCTGAACGTCCAAATGGTCGTCTTGACATCATGTTTGATGATATTGTGGAAGGGCATTCAAAAGAACAACTTGTTGCTTTAAAAGATCGTTTCAATTTCATTTTGGCTCTTGTTGTTAGTGCTCCGAATACTACCGTAGCCACACTTAATGAACGCTGTCGTGCTGTCTCCACGAACGAGCAGAATGAGAGCTTTTATGCAAATCGAAGAACTCCAGTTGCAGCTGGATTTCTGCAGTGGGGTCGATGTGTCGATTCATTAGTACGTCTCGTGAATTCTAAAACATGGGTAGGAAGCGGTCCCAGTCCTTTTGCAACCTCAAAAGTACTTCTTATCGATCGAGCGGTGAGCATCAGTGGACTGAAACGCGTAAATGATATGAATATACGCACGGAAGCACCGGGAACATTATTGGCAATTGACGAAAATGCTTGGCACGTTGCTGTTGCAGATGGAGTTGTTAAAATAAGTGATTTCCTTGATGAAAGTGGGCGAGCCACATCAGCTCGGATACTTGCCAATCAATGTCATCTTCTCGCAGGTGATCTACTTCCAGTAATAACTCCTGAACAAGCCGAATTTTTAGGCGCAACATATGCACAGGTCATGCTATCGAATCCACATTGGTCTCATTGTCTTGCCAACTTTGAATTATGTAAACTTTCAATTGTGCAAAACTATGCTAATCAACCACCGGTATGGGCCGCATCTGATTTTCAAGATTTATCACCTGTAAGATTCAGTGCAACAGAGCTTATTGCCGCATGGCTCATTTACATCGCTCGACATACCCAAATGTCACAATTACAGATCGGATGGGATGCAACTGAATCGAATGAAATTTACCAAAATGATGATGTATTGGCAACACGGATTTTTGCTGAAACTGTACCATTTTCGACATCCATCGATTTCAGTGAAACCTTTTCAAGCGTTGTGGCCAACGTAGAGAGAGATTGCAAGGAAATGGTTAACAACTTACCATGCTTGTCTGATTTGATCGTTCGACATGCCATATGTTCCTCAAATGACTTGCGCAGCGATAGACACTGGGAATTGGCCGTGTCCCTCATCAACACGCAAGAAGAATGCCCCTCGAAAGACGCTCACGGCAGTTTGCTTACGCTTCAGATCAACAAAAATAATGGCTCTTTTCGTTGGATCTATGATAATAATAAGATATCAGAGGAGGAAGTAAACCGTATATCATCACATTTGCTGGTTTTACTTGCATCTGCTCATAGCATAGATCAATCACAGAAACCCATTGGCCGACTGAATTTACTACCCAAAGCTGAACGCGAACTGCTTCTCAATATCTGGAACCAAACTGATATAACTTATCCTGCTAAGAAGTGCATCCATCAGTTGTTCGAAGAACAAGTCAGGCGTGACGGTTCAGCGATTGCGGTGGAATGTGAAGGAGAAACTTTGAACTATGATGAACTCAATACACAATCAAATCAACTAGCACACTATCTGATTTCCAAAGGTGTTAAGCCAGATGATCGCATTGCACTTTGCGTTAAGCGCAGCACAAAAATGATTGTAGCTATACTAGGTATTTTGAAAGCCGGCGGCGCTTATGTACCACTCGATCCTGAATACAATAGTGAACGGCTAAGAAATATTCTGAGGGACGCCGATCCAATGTGTTTGTTGGCAGATTCCACTGGCCAAAAAGCACTTGGAGATCATCATGTGTCTGTGGTTAATTTGGACCATATGTTACCCAATGGCCTGTCGAGTGATAACCCGGATTTCTCTAAACTCGGCCTTACTTCATCTCATTTGGCATATATAATTTATACTTCTGGTTCCACCGGAAGACCGAAAGGGGTGATGGTAGAGCATCACTCTCTGCTCAATTTGGTTCAAAGTCTTGCTTTCATTTTTGATATAACTCTGAAGAGCCGCTTTTTACAGTATGCTTCTTGCTGTTTTGATAATAGTGTTGGCGAAATTCTAACAACTTTGACAAGTGGAGCATGTCTTTGCATACCAAACGAAATAGTACGTCGAATGGATAATTCCTTGATTAGATATATGAATGACGAAAAGATTACCCATGCGCCTTTACCGCCGGCTATCTTCCGAAACACACAAAAACTAATCGATTCAACTGGGTTGAAGACTTTGATTTTAGGTGGCGAAACACCGTCGTTATCCTTGCTAAAAACTGCCGTTAGGCATACTGCAGTTTTCAATGGCTATGGTCCAACTGAGACAACCATAGCTGCGACCACTTGGTCGTGTCCAATTGATTTTGATAGCCATTCAATACCAATCGGTCGTCCAATATCTAATAATCGTATTTACCTCTTAAATGCACAAGGTGAACCGGTACCATTGGGAGCCGAAGGAGAACTGTATATTGGCGGCGCTGGTGTGGCTCGTGGCTACCTCAACCGATCTGAACTTACCGCCGAGTGCTTTTTGTCCGATCCATTCAGTGACAAACCATCGGAACGCATGTATCGCACTGGTGATCTGGCACGCTATTTGCCTGATGGAAATTTAGTATTTTTGGGACGCATTGACCAACAGGTTAAAATTCGTGGTTTCCGAATTGAGCCTGGTGAAATTGAAGCTCATTTAGTGGAACATCCTTTGGTGCGCGAAGCGGTTGTACAGCCATGGAAGAATGGGATTGATAGTGATACCCGTCTGGTGGCATATGTAGTAGCCAATCCTGATGCATCACTCGCCAACAATCTACGTACGTATTTGAAATCTCTATTGCCTGATTATATGGTGCCAGCAGCATATGTGTGTCTATCATCATTACCACTCACACCAAATGGCAAATTGGACCGACGTGCACTTCCAGCACCGGACGATGAAGCATTTGCCCATCAACTATATGAAGAGCCGCGAGGCGAAATGGAAGAAAAACTGGCTGAAATCTGGAGTGAGCTGTTAGGTATTAAGCGAATCAGTCGAAATGACAATTTCTTTGCGTTGGGCGGGCATTCTTTGCTGATTGTACGAATGGTAGCACTATTACGAAAGGCCGGATTGGATACCAGTGTCAAGAAAATATTTGATGCTCCCACCTTATTTGCACTAGCAGAAACTCTCGGCAAACATCAGTCGTTAAGTATTCCACCCAATATGATTACTGAAGACAGCACGAAGATTACTCCAGATATTTTACCTCTTATTAGCCTATCTCAATCGGAGATTGATTTTCTAGTAGAACATGTGCCGGGTGGTATAGCCAATATTCAAGATATTTATGGGTTAGCACCATTACAAGAAGGCATCTTGTTTCATCATATGATGGCCGAGCAAGGCGATCCATACTTAAGAATGCGTCATTTACAATTTAGTGATCGTGAAAAACTTGATGACTACGCAATCGCGCTGAAACGGGTAATTGAACGACATGATATTCTGCGAACCGCCTTCATCTGGGAAGGACTCAGTGAACCGGCACAAATCGTTTTACGTCAAGTCCCTCCAATACTCACCGAAGTCACATTGGATGAAACCAATGAATCGGTTCTAGAACAATTAAATAGCCGCTTTAATCCACGTCACTACAAACTAGACCTGACCCAAGCACCTTTGCTACGTGTATTTGCCGCTCAAACGTCTGAAGATAATTGGGTGGCAATGATTCTCATGCACCATTTAATCACTGACCACACAACACTAGAAAGAGTGAATGTAGAAGTGCAAGCCATTATCGAAGGACAGAGTGAACAGTTGGCCACACCCACACCATTCCGTCATGTAGTGGCTCAAGCTCAACTAGGAGTTAGCCAAACCGAACACACTAAGTTCTTCGAAGAAATGCTTGCTGATGTTGATACACCAACCCTTCCGTTTGATCTGAGCGACGTTCATGGCGATGGGACTGAGATTGATGAAGTGCATCTTGAGTTACCACAGGAGCTTAATAATCAGTTACGGGAGCATGCACTTCATTTACATGTTAGCTTGGCCAGCCTTTGTCATTTGGCTTGGGCACAAGTACTTGCTAAAGCCAGTGGACACAAGACAGTTGTCTTCGGCACCGTACTATCCGGTCGTTTACACTCCGGAGAGAATGACAGTTCATTAGGGTTAATGATAAACACGCTACCAATTAGGCTGGATATCGATGAGAGGACGGTAGAGAGCGCCGTGCGTCATACTCACTTTCGTTTGAGTGCATTGCTAGAACATGATAATGCATCGCTTGCGTTGGCGCAACGTTGTAGCGGAGTGCCAGCAAGTTTGCCACTTTTCAATGCGTTATTGAATTATCGTCATAATCAGCCGAGCAGGGAGGTCACTACGACGATCCATGGGGTCTCATTCTTGGGCGCAGAGGAGCGAACTAATTATCCAATAAACCTGGCGGTAGAGGACGACAGTGAGGCACTGACTCTGACAGCCCAAGTGGTGTCTCCAATATCAGCGGCACGGATTTGTGGTTATATGCAACAGGCTCTCCTCACGCTTTCCTATGTATTAACACACACACCACAGCAGCCTTTACGAACATTGACGGTCATGCCACCAGAAGAACATGATATGCTATTACATAGTTGGAATCGAACGACTGTCGATTATCCACCTGTTTGTTGTCTTCATCAATTATTTGAGGCACAAGTGGAGCGTAGCGGTCAAGCCATAGCGGTGGAATTTGAAGGGGAAACTTTGAGTTATGCTGAACTCAATGCACAAGCTAACCGATTGGCACATCATTTGATCACGCGGGGAGTAAAGCCAGATGATCTCATCGCAATTTGTGTTAAACGCAGCACAAAAATGATCGTAGCCATATTAGGCATTTTGAAAGCCGGTGCCGCTTATGTACCACTCGATCCAGTCTACTCAAGTCAACGGTTACGAAACATTTTGGTGGATGCGGATCCATTGTATTTGTTGGCAGATTCCACTGGTCAAGAGGCACTTGGAGTTCATGATATACCAGTGATTAATTTGGATCAGCCGTTACCAGACGATCTATCAACCCAAAATTCGGACGCGTGCATATTGGGACTCAATCCAAACCATTTGGCTTACGTAATATATACATCCGGTTCTACTGGAACACCGAAAGGTGTGATGGTTGAGCATCAGTCTTTATTCAACTTGGCACATACACAAACTTCTATTTTCGGGATAACTCCCAAGAGTCGTATTTTGCAATTTGCATCCTGCTCATTTGACGTTAGCATGGATGAAATCATGAGAGCTCTAACAAATGGAGCATGTCTTTGCATACTTAACGAAGAAATACGTCACAGTGACACTGCTTTGCTTGACTTTCTAAGTACCGAGAAGATTACCCATGCAACTTTACCTCCCGCTCTGTTCCGAAACACTAAAGCGTTGACCAATTTAAAGGACATACAGACGTTGGAATTTGTGGGCGAGCCGCCTTCGTTATCATTGCTCCAAGCTGCTGCTAACGAAACTAAGGTTTTCAATGGTTATGGTCCAACCGAAACAACCAACTGTGCGACCAACTGGATATGCCCCATAAATTTTAACAGTCCCTCTATACCCATTGGTCGTCCGATATCGAACGTACAAATATATCTGTTGGATTCACGTGGTGAACCGGTTCCATTGGGGGCTGAAGGAGAACTATATATTGGCGGTGCTGGTGTGACCAGAGGCTATCTAAAAAAACCCGAACTCACAACAGAACGATTTTTACCTGATACATTCAGTGAAAATCCAACAGCACTCATGTATCGTACCGGTGATCTGGCTCGTTATTTGCCTGACGGAAATCTAGTGTATCTAGGACGTACTGATCAACAGGTTAAAATCCGTGGTTTCCGAATTGAGCCCGGCGAAATTGAGGCCCGTTTAGTAGAACATCCTTTGGTGCGCGAAGCGGCCGTACAGCTACTGAAGGACGGACCCGATAGTAATAACAATCTTGTTGCCTATGTAGTGGCCGATCCAGATGCGTCACTCGCCAACAATTTACGTACATATCTGGCTACTCTATTACCTGATTATATGGTGCCAGCAGCATATGTGTGTCTATCATCATTGCCACTCACACCAAATGGCAAATTAGACCGACGTGCACTTCCAACGCCGGACGATGAAGCATTTGCCCGTCAACTATATGAAGAGCCGCGTGGCGAATTGGAAGAAAAACTGGCTGCAATCTGGAGTGAACTGTTGGGTATTGAGCGAATCAGTCGAAATGACAATTTCTTTGCGTTGGGCGGACATTCATTGATGGTGATGAAATTTTCCAACCTGGCAAAGAAATACTATAATATACACGTTGATGCGCGCGGTTTGTTTTCCTTTCCAATACTCAAAGACTTGGCAGAGAGAATAACTAACTCTCCCAACAAACTGTATTGTGATGAAGCTATTCCAGTTCGTCATCGTGGCGATCAGATACCCATATTTTTCTTACCAGATGGTTATGGAGACATTTCATATGCTTTTGAACTAGCACACGAGATTGATGAAAGTGTTCCTGTTTATGTGTTACCGTGGTTTTCACCAGAAAAAGAGCAGCCATCATCCGTTGTAGAAATGGCCAATACAATGATTTCGCTGATGAAGAAAGTACTGCCGGATGGCCCTTGTGCTATAGCTGGTTACTCCTCTGGAGGTATTCTAGCTTATGAAATAGCAAATCAACTTATAAACAGTGGCTACCCAGTCTCATTTTTGGGTTTAATCGACACGTCTCCTCTCACAAAAACGAGTGATACTAATTGGTTTTTGTATTCTATTACATTGAAATCTGCCTTCTTCAAAACGTTAAATGATATAGAGTGGTGGGAACGTGTAAGTAAATTGCGTCTAAATGAAGCAATTGAAGAAGTTAAATTAAAAAACGTTGATTTGAAAAATGCAGATATCGAATGGGAAGCATTGTTATCGAAACAACGGGCTCATTACCATAATATATGTGCAGGGTATAAGATCAATTCACTACCAATTACCGTAAATTTGCTTAAGGCATCAGAGTTTGATCAGTCACATGGTCGTAATATGTACTTTGCTAAAAATATTCAAACACAAAAAAGTGTTGGTGATTTTAGTAAAATGTATAATTTTCCAAAAATTGAATGGGACAGTAACCATCTTTCAGACGTGCGCATTATTCCTGTAAACGGTGGTCACTTTACAATGATGACAGATCAGAACAATCGAACTTTACTAGGAAAAAAAATAACTGAATTATTACTATCAAAATAAATATAAATGTGTTAAGATTACGGTCTAGGGGGTTCCGACTTATACGAATGTTCCATATGCGAGCGAATGTTTCATACAAATTTTGCGAATGGTGGCGGATGTTTCATACGAATTTGCGGACGGTGTCGAATGTTTCATACACATTTTGCGGATGGCGCATATGAAAAGTCATATTTTTACATTCAAAAAGTCAAAGTGACAGATTAGTTGACAGAGATTCAAGCCGAATTGATATTTTTTTGGTAATATTGAGTGAAATTTTTCTAAAATGGTAAATAAATCTTTGTCACTCGTAATATAATCACTGTAAGGCACCGTTGTGAAAGGTTTTTATTTTGATTGACGAAACTTTCAATTTCTTTTATATTATCTGAATTTATTTCTAAAATCTCACTTTTCGAATCGAATACGGCTTCTAAAATAATATTCAACAAAAAATCTTGTAATTTTTTTTTCGACTGTTTTTCAAATTTAGTTGAGAACAATCACATTGTGTTTGAAACTGCTACGACAAACTGAACACAGCAATGTGTATGTACAAATGTCACACGACAGTTTGTCGCATCTAGCAAGACGTATGCGGCATCCGCGAATGGTTGCGAATGAAATGTACGAATTTTCTAAGATGTTGATGCGGATGAATATACTTTACTTCGTATATTTCATGTATGAATAGAAAAATGTTCATATATTCCGTATAAAATGGCATTCGCATATAGTAAAATGCCCCTTGATTACGGTTATTTATATAATTATAAAATTTCAAAATTATTATTCAATATAACCGATTTATATAATAACTATTTTGAAATAATAAATATAATAGAAGAATATGCATTGTAAATGTTA